CATAATAGATTACAGTATAACTCTCTGCATATTATATACATATACATATGTATATATAGATAAATATACATTTCAGGATATGCAGGGTTAACCTATGTTCAAGTTCGTTTTATAAATGCAATATATTTGAATAAATGCAAATTTTCACAACGCATTTAAGCATTACAAAAATTAAGGCCTATGAACTCATAATACTTCATTCGCTCTCATTTCTTCTAACTCATAACGTGTGATATTGTTTTTTGTTTTACTTTCTGTTAGAATATGCTTATGCCATTATTTTGACATAATCAGAAACCTAAATTATTCAATTTTAAAGTATAAATTTTCTTGGAAAAAATTTTACAATAATTTACAATTATTTTCAAGTTAATTAAAGCTCTACTACAAGGCTTTTTTAATAGTATTAATTAATACATAAGTGTAATCGGCCTCTTACACTTTATTTAACTCTCTCAATATTCAGGAATTCGTTGGAAACTTATTTCCACAATAAATATACACTAATAATAATATAAGAGAAATATACACACACATTAACATGAAACTTTTTTTTAATACTCTTATATTGAATGATAAAAATTATAATAAGAAATTTCCCTTTAAATAAAGGGGGTAATTGCAATGGTAAACTTGTATTTTCCTCGGAGAGAGAGTTTCTAAATTGTTATTCTCAATTTCTGATTAGCCTTACCGAAATAAGAAAAAGTGCGTAACTTAACTACATGCATATACATATTTATATGTATATGTTTGTTCACGCATATTTCCTTTTCTCCATTTAAATGAATCCATTGATATATTATTTATTTTATTTCAAAAAAAAAAATTTTCTATTCATTTTAAATGTATAGATTTTCACAAAATGTATATGTGTGTGTAAAATTAAGGCATTTTTATAAAATTTTTCTCAACTATTTATATGTAGTTCTCTCTATATATACACAATTTCAATAAACTTTCGTAACTTTGACATGCAATTTCCCATTTCCATACATATAATTAAAAACTATATATGAAAAATTTTTTAACAAAAGTGTTAGTTAAATTTTCTCTCTTTCACTATAGTAACACTCCCCAAAACTAATACACATGTATATTAAAGGAAATAAAAAGAGAAAGTATGAATAGGTATACGCAATGTTGGTCTACGATAAATGAATAAAAAGTGAAAGTATAAGAATAATAATAACAAAACATTTCAATTTATAAAGCTTGAATGTCCTTGGCAAGGCAAAGCAAGAGATTATAGAAACCATTTAAATGTGCATTTGTTGTCTTTGTCTGACTTTCACTTTCACATAAAATTTGGATTTTTGATTTTCATTTTTTTTTTTCTTTTTAATATGAGTTTGTAAAATGGAACGGAACTCAACTACTATAGTGATATTTTTTATTTTGATAATTTTTTTTCTATAAATATACGTGGTTGTATGTATGTATATTGTATAATGCAGTATACATAAAAATGTATGTATATAAATATAAATAATAATCATAAATATTGTATAGTACATGCATGTTATGTATGTAACATTTTATGTTTTTAATAATAGAAAAAAAGTGCACGAATAATAAAAAATTTTGCATATTTTTTTGTTGAAGGGATAGGGTATAACAGAAGAATATAGGGTATGAATTCGAATGTGCAACTTATACATGTGTATAAAATGCGTGCTTACATATACAAATATAATTTTCTATGCAGCATTGTACAAAAACTTTCATTATAAGTAAATAGAGAGCAAAAATATAAAGAAAAAGAAAATTGAAACGAAAAAAATTAACATAAAAATCAAAAGTTCTGGGAAAATTTCTTTCTGTACGCATAAAATATTTATATATATGCACAAATAACAGTTTTGAATTATTTTCAATTTAAAATCTTTTATTGATGTAAGTTCGAACAATTAACTCCAGACAAACGGAACCAAACCATAAGAATAGATGTTTAATCCCAAACATAATTACAAGATTAGATTTTTTCAGAATCAAATTTTACAATTTGAGAGGAAGAGAGGAGAACTTATAGGAGTTGTTCCGAGTTGGTTAAAGTAAACCAGATTGAAAAAAATTTGTCTATTACATATCCCTTACCGGTTCGAAGCTGTGGCATCGTATTGTTGGGAACATTTTTTCACAATTGATAGATCTACATAACGGTACATCTTTGATTAATTGGTAAATAAATGATTAATGTAATAGCTGTGATTAGTGAATAAATGATTGATGTTTTCGAATAATAACTGCCTAAACACGAAGTTGACTGTTAAAATATATGTATATGCGTAATAGTGACACAAAAATTGGACCTAAATTGTACTAGAATGAGATAAGCTACAGTTTAAACTATGAATTGTTCACTGTTTTACTTTATGTACATTGATGAATACATATACATATAAATATATATTATAAACATTACATTGCATCATAATTTTATTTAATTATATTTTTTTACTTTTTTTTGGTTTTTCCTACATTTTACATTGTACATATGTATAAATAAAATTTTATGTTCATTGTACAATTTAATATACAGGAAACGATCATATTATAATTTACCTATATTAGAAATAGATAATATGAAATGTAACTTATTTAATTGTATAATATATAATTTGTACATTAGGGTTTATATAATTTGTAAATAACAGTTCGAATAAGTGCAAAACAAAATTCAATACATTCATGTATATGTATATATCTCTGAAAATCTTTTAGCTAGCAGCAGTGGCGACAACATCATCAGCAACTTTAAAATGCTATTATGAATTTTTATTTATCATATATGTATAAATACATTTATATAAATTTAAGTTAGTTTAAGAAACCATTATTGTTTTTGATTTTCTAATATACGCATATTATATGTTATACACAAAATATATTGTTCATGAGAGCATTTCTTAATCAATTCATATAGGGTATGCATACATACTAACAAGTAAAGCTCATAATACTATGTATATACATAATGATATTATATGTGAATAAATTTCATTCTATATACAAAATCGGCGCCAGAAAGGATATTGCATAACTTTATGATATGTGTATACATTTACATACATATTTACATATTTTATTCTTAAAAACATGTTTACAAGCATTCATACACATCTACATATATTTTATTGTGCAAAGGATACATTTGTATTTCAATTTTAAAATCTTATACTTAACAAAAGCAAAATCCAAACATAAATTTATAAATGTGTACACATAACATACTTATAAATAATTCTATGAGAGAAATATGTTCTAGGAAAGATGGTAGAACCATATATGTATATACATATATACATCAGGTGCATATTATATAATATATAATTACTCGTATAATATAATATTTATATATAGGATTTTATTGTAAGTATATAAAGTATTGTAGAAAGTGAATGTGAGGGCGGATATTATTTGACATATATATTAAAATTTAGATTTATTCTCTCTTTATTTTATTTTGTGATGATTTAAGGTGATTTTTATATTATTATTTTATATATAGATATATAATTGTAATATATTTATGTATATAAAATAATTTTACTGATATTTAAGCAAACCTAATGTACGCAGAGCATCTTCTTCAGTATATATACATAAATAGGTTGAAGTTAAAGGTATACGAGAAAATAATTTATAATTTTACATAAATGTTGTAATCATGTTGAAGTTTTTCGAAATTTATGAAAAAATTTATATGTATACAAGTATTAAACAAGCTACATATATCAAATCTATACATGTATATACAACATATAAATGTATATTCATAAATAGTACTGCAAGTTTTCTTATTTTTTACAAAATCCTATTGAAATATCAGATTCTGTATTATAGCCCTTAAATATATGTATATAGGTATATGTACTTCAAACATACATTTTATATATAGGAAATATAGGGATAATATAACAGAATGGCATAAAAAAATGGAAAAAAAAATAAAATAAAATGTTACATTTTCGATTTCAATAGAGTGTAAAATTAGATCAAGAGAAATTTTACAGATGATACCGTAAAAAGTTATTGATGCAAAATTATTATAGAATAATATTTCTATATGATTCAATTATTTGTAATTCAAATCCAGTACATTATGTATATATACATAAGCATGTTTAAATAAATATAAATTATGTACATCTTACTTTTCTTTAATACATTCTTTAACACATTTCCAAAAAAAAGAGACAAAATCACAGCAAACATTTTTTATATATACATACTCGTACTTTTATTCAAATTTAACTAAAATTAAAATTGTATTAAATTAAAATTAAAATAAATCGAAAATAAAATAAAAATTCAAAATTTTAAATATATGTAAGCATTCAACTCCCATTCTGTATACCAAGTTTCGAATTGATTATAAAAATATTACGCATGCAACACCAGAAGAAAATCTAGATTTCCTTCTTTTTTGTACAGTACATTCCCTTGATGAATATTGTTTTAAAATGTTCGAATATTTATATTTACATGTACATATATAATTAATAATATTGTGTATTTTTCGGCAAAACAAGCTGCTTAACCAAATTGAATACAGAAACCAAACTAAATACATTTTTATTACATTATTTTGTTGCACACTAAAGAAGTAAAAAATGGAATTTTAAGGAAAAATTGTGCCAAGACAATCTTGGAATATATGTAGTTGTTAATTGATTTGTTAGGATTTATATAAAGTTCATATAAAATTAAGTTTTTCATTAATTATCTAAATTGCGAACTGACTTTCCATAATACCCCACTATTTTTAGATATACGAGTATACATATATACATAAAGAATATGACGAATCGGAAAATATATACTTGTTACAAAAAATTATACACTAATTTTACGTTCTGCCAGTTGCACTAAACATTCCAAATACATAATAGTATCTTAGAAGTGTGATCTAGATCTTGAATAAAATTTATTAATATTTTATGCTATGCTACAAGTTTTTAGTTTTAAAATACAAATATTTTTATGAATGTAAAAAATTCTTTTCTTTATTTAAAATTTTAAAAAATGTATTTACTATTATATATATTATTATAAAATTGTACACATATTTTATATACTTATATTATTAATAATGCTGAACAATATTATGAATGAGCTTTGTTGATTACTTGGACGGGTGCAAATAAAATGTATGGTTGATCTTGTGTGTTATGCTTTATGTGTTGTTTTAAAACATCGTTTGCCGTCCTTTCATCCGTTATAGGTTGGCCGTAATTATGAATATGTAATTCTTTTATTTGATAAATATGATCAGTATGTGACACTAACTTATTTGCATTGCCTTGATCAGTTTTTGACGGAACTTCAAATTGTGTTTGAATAACTCCGTTGCTATTCTCATTGACTTTAATTTGGGTTTTTAATGTAAACTTTTTATTTTCAGTATTTGTTATTGTGGAAGGTTTAGAAGCTGGTAAAAAACTTTCATTTGGTGTCATAGGCGCAGTACTCATTGAATGTGGAATTTTTGAATCGCTAGAACTTGAGGAAAACACTTTTAGAAATTCTTCAAATTTTTTAAAACCTCCAGAATTTTCAATTAGTCGTAAAAGACGATTGATATTATTGCTGTCTTGTTCCTGATTCATAGAACCATTTTCTGTTTGAATTATAGGATTCGACATAGTTGAAGTTGTTGAAGTTTCTGCTACTGTAGTAACACTTGATTGTAATATATTTTCTGTTCTTAGCTTACTATCATTTGCAGACCCAACGCTATTAAATAGACGTAGTATAATATTAGTAAATAAATAACAATAAAAAAACTGAAATTCAACATACGTTGGCATAATATCACCATCTTTATTTTGTTCAGGACAGTTTTCTTCTGTATCTAAAAAAGTGCAGTCACCTTTTTCACTACTAAAATAAGCTCCATCAGCACAAGGCAGCAAATTTGATTCAATACCCAGTCCTACTTCATACAGGTCGATACAAGCGTAATAGGATCTGCAGTCTCTTGGGTTTGCGAATAAACCAATGCTTGAACACTTAAAAAGATTAGGATCTGAAAAATAATTAAAATTTAATTAGTTAAAAATTAAAACATTGTAATTTGACCAGCTACCAGTTATAGTAGTAGGTGAAACAACAAATCGCTCAGTTGATGTAGAACTGGCAATGAGATCTGATGAAGCCGAAGTTGAAGCGGAAAAGCTGATTTAAAAAAAAAGGTATTCAGCATTAGTTGACAGTTAAAATTTAGCATTTAATTGCTAAGATTTTTACCTCAATTTTGATAATAAAGCTCTTTTGCCTGTTTGTATTAAAGCATTTGGTTCTCTATCACCGCAAAGACCCCTAAAATCATCTTGATCAACAGACCAGAACATTAAACCTCCTAAACCATTGTCAGCGACATATTCTGCTTTCATTCGTACCATTTCTTCATCATCATAAGCTACCCAACGAGTTCCTTTAATTGCATATGGGCCCATTGTTCGCGGTTCAACTTGTACAATTTTCCATTGAGCCTCAGGGTCATTTAATATCTTTTGACATATCTAAAAAAAATATATACGTTGGAAATTTTTCCATTGCAAAAATTAAATTAAATGTTCATAATTAATAAAACGTTCAATTATTACCTCATAAAAAGCTAAAATACCCGGAGCTCCTGTTAATTCACCTGGAACCCCAGGACCTACAGCTGGTGAATTAACACCACTTAAATTTTCATCCTCTAACGTATATGATACCCCATAAGTTGGTATGCCAACAACAAGTTTGCTTCTATCTATTCCAGCTTCTATGTAATTATAGACGGATGCATTCTAACGCATAAAAAAATTAAAAATGCTGTAGATGAAAATATGTAGTAACCCTTAACTTAGTGTTATAACTTACGACATTGTTTTCCGATTCATCTATTCCCTTTAAAGCGAATAGCGGGGCATGATGATTGACTTTCGATTCGGTTGAAATATGGTAATTATAGCTCACTAAATTAAACCAATCTACGAAATCATTCATTTTAGCAATATCGTACCCTCTTTCCAAATTTCTTTTATCCTTTGGTATTGTAATTGACAATAGTAGCCTTAAACAAATAAGTTATATATCATTTTCATAGTAGGAAAGCTGCATAGTTTCAAAATTAAGACCTATAGTAATTTTGACATTTCTAACTAAACTTAATTAAACTTACGGTTGAGAATTCATTTCTATAGAATCTTCTAAAAATTTTGATTTAATTTCTTTTAAAAATTGGGCAAAATTTTCTTTGTCATCCGAAGCTTCACCCGGAAATTGCCAATCAATGTCAACACCATCGAAATTATTTATTTTTATGAAGTCTATAAGATTACTAATAAATTCTTGACGACGTTCAGGATCTTTAACTAAATTTGAATAGTTCGACTCTGTTGTATTTGGTCTTTGGTTTATCGAAATTAAAGTTTTCACTTGAGGATTTTTTGATTTTATTTTGTTGAAATCAAGGTAAAATGCTGTAAATTAAAAGAACTTCATTATGATAGTAACTTTTTTAATTTGATTTTGCACAATTTTATTGGTATATAATATGGTGCATATTATTTAAAAAAATTTGAAAATAACAACTTACTCTGATCGGCATCTGCAGGATCTGAAGGTGCAACAGTGTTATTAACTAAATTTGCAAATGCATATATTAAATGAGTGCAAAGGTCTGGTAAAATAAATGAAGCATCGAACTTAGCTACACCTGTTCGATATCTACTCCAATTTGGTGCATAACACACTATTCTATTTCTTATTTCTTCCAAATCATTATTGCTTTCAGAAGTGAGATCTACTATTTGATTATTTATAGTAGGAGGAGCATTCAAATTACTGTCTGTAATTCCAGGTGAACTAATTGTTGTAATTTCAAAGGTGATAGGAATATTACTTGTTGGAGTCATTGCATTATTGGTTGAAGGTTTTAAATTTCCAAAACTGTTATAAATAAATAATGAATTTTATTAACTTTATTGTTATAATTGAATTTAATCAATTTTAAGTTATATTTCTCTTTGTTTACCCTAATCGTTCATTAAGTGCATCTTTTGCTGTACTTATTAATAAATTTGCTTTTCCAGTGCATGATCCAACAAAATCATCTTGATCTACAGTCCAAAACATCATGCCACCTAATCCCATGAGTGCTACATATTCAGCTTTTCTGCTTACCATATCTTCATCATCATATGCCACCCAATTCTTGTCGTTGTATGCATAAGGACCAACCAAGTCTGATTGATTGCTTACAATAAACCAACCTTCGGCATTTATATTTTGGCATATCTATAAAGAACGTTTGAAGGTCTTATCACACAGGATAAAAATAATTCTTCACCTCATAAAAAGCTAAACTGCCATTCAATTGAGTAAATCTTCCAGGTATTCCAAAACCAGATGCAAGTGCTCCATAATTTGTCATTGAAGAATCTGCCAAAGTAAATGTTCGGCCATAGGTTGGTATACCAATCACAATTTTATCACGATCAACACCTAATTCAATATAAGTTGCAACTGTAGAATTCTGTGTAAAAATATCTTTTAATTTGAATAATTTGACAAAAATGTATGGAAATTAGTGAACTTACAATATTTCTATTCGCTGATGATATTCCTTCATATGCATATAATGGGGAATGGTGATTTACAACTGGTTTTGAAGAAAGCACATAATCATACGTTAGCAAATTGAACCAATCTACGTTTTCATTTAATTTTGGGATATCATAGCCAGTGCTTATAATTTGTTCATCAAATGGTACTGTCACTGTAATGATATAACTATAAAACAAAGTATTATTTTAAATCAACAAATTTAAAAGTAAAATTTATAATTAACAAATTTATTGTAAAAATCTTACGGTAAACGTCCCGCCAACAAAATATCTTCACTAAATGTCAACCGTAGTTGCTCTACCAAACTTGCAAAATTTTCTTTATCATCTGCAGTACCTCTTTCATCACCTGGATGTAACCAAACAATGTCTATACCATCAAAATTGTATTGTTTTATAAAATTTAATACGTTTTCAGCAAAAATAAGTCTTTGTTCTGGATCAGACACAAGTGATGAAAATTTTGATAAGGTCTCATTACTTGGGCTTTCTGATATGCTTATCAAGGTTTTTAAGTTTCTATTTTTGTTTTTAAGATCTGTAAACATTTTGTAACCATCTAGAAAATATTGATAAATATTAAGTAGTTTAAATAAAATTTTTGGTTAAATTATTACCGTTATTTATATCAACGAACTCATCAGCAGGTATTACAGTATTATTCTCTATTTTAGCAAAGTAATAATTAAGATGAGTACAAAGATTTGGATCAAGATTTCTTTCATTTGGAATAAATCTCGCTGTTCCTGACCTATAGTAACTCCAATTTGTAACATAACATACAATTCTGTTATTAATTTTTCCTATAAAAATTCACTTTGTTACTGTAAAACCATAAAATTTATCATTAATAATTAAAAAATATAATGCACCTTCCACATTTATGTTATCTTGATAGTTACTTAAAACTAAATTTGAATTGATTTGTGTTGTAGTTCCCAAAGTCGTTGTTGAAATTGTAGTTGAAGTTGATTTTGTTGTTCTAATAGTTGGTGGCTCTGTCACTCTTATAATAGATGTTTCACCAGCAATTCTGCCAAGTGTTTAAAAAATGAAGGATTGGATTTAAATACAAAATAATTAATGAGACGAAATTAAGAAGTTTAATTAAAAAAACCTGTAATAAATTTTTGTTGTAGTTTTAGCAAGAACTAAAGCAAATAAACAAGAGCAAAATATCAATTTAAAAAATTATGTGACATTCAAACTGCCTTTCGCATAATTTATTCAATAATTTTTGCAAATATTTCTGTTAGTCTGGTTCTAAATTAATTGCTAACATAATATAACATAAACGAAAAATATCTCTCCGCATATTAATTATTTTTTAGCATCCAATTACCGGGGCTCAATTTATCAGCCAACCAATTTACCAGACAATCATTTCACCTTCAAATATTGAAAATTTGGTTTCTGTTTTTCTTTTAATGCAAAATTCATTCTAAAACTGATAAACTTAAATATTGAACTAAACATATAAAAAAATTAAAAAAGGTCTCTATTTATTGTATTGAGTCAACCGGCACATATGAGGTCCAAAACAAATTTTTAATAATGTAAAAACTTCGATATAAAAAATAACAACCTCCTGAAATATCAATAAAGCTAATTTTGTCATAGAATTTAATCATATCTTGAAGGAATAACATATTGAGAATCGGTTATCAGGAGATCAGGTTATTACGTTAGAAAGGAGATCAGATAGTAGCCTTACGAAATGATTAATTAATCCAGTAACTAAAACTAATTCGAACTAAGATTAATAAATGGAAAATATAAGCACCGTAATTTTTACAAGTTTTTTAAAGCTAAAAATGCTTATTTGGTAGAAAAATTTTGGCTTTGGAGTTACCTTTTGTTTCCATTGTATAAAAATGTTATAGTCAAATTAAATTATAATAATAAAATTTATCACTTAATTATGAATTAAAAGTAAAAGAGAAAAGCAAAATGAACTTATAGCAGAAAAGAAAATTGAATACACATAGTCATAATAAATTTAAAGTAAAGAAAGCAAATAAAAATACATTTTGTTAAATAAAAAGATTTTAGTTTTAGTTTTTGAAAATTGTACTAGTTTAGTTAAAATATAGGCATGTTGATATTTGTTTTTCTGTATTAATAAAAATTATATAATTATAAAAGAAAGTGGAAACAACAAAAATATTAGAAAAAAATGCAATTCGCATACTTTAAAACAAAATTACCCGAGTTTTTCGTCAAGCCTAGTTTTCGCTGCCCGTATCAAAGTAAATGGGTTACTACTACAAATACCGCGGAAATCATCTTGATCTATAGACCAAAATGCTAGTCCCCCAAATCCATTATCAGCAACGTAATCTGCTTTAATTTTCATCATGTTTTCATCATCAAATGACACCCATTGGTCTTCTTTAATAACTACTGGTCCAACTAAATCTGCATATGGTTGATATGTTTCCCACTCCGGATCTTTCAACAAATTATCACAAATCTAGATTTATTAAGAGAAAAATTAAAGTATGTATGCGAGAAAACATAGAAATATAAACTACATCCTTTACTTACTTCAAAATATGCTAAACTTCCATTAGTTTTAGTAAGCATTCCCATTCTTCCGGCCCCTATTGAAGAAGCTCCAAAATTTTTTTGCAGAGTACTACGCAAAGTAAAAGTACGACCATATGTAGGTATGGTAAGAACCAATTTGTTCCTCTCTGCTCCCGCATTTAAGTATTCGTTCATGGTAAAGTTCTAATACAACGTTAATTTTATACTTTTTTTTATGTTGCAATATAAGACTAAAATAAAAATTAATTATCATTAACTTACAACATTAAATTCATCAAGTGGTTGTTCGGGCAGAGAATACAAAGCAGCAGCGTGATTAACTTGGGGTTCTGTAGCAGCATGATAATTATAAGTCAAAACGTTAAACCAATCAACATAGTCGTTTAGTCTAGCTACATCAAACCCTTGCATTTCTTCTTTTTTCCCAGGCAATGCTATTGTTAACAATAATCTGAAAATTTATTATTCTGTATATAAAAATTAAAAGAAAGCATAGCAAAAAATACTTACGGTTGTTGAAATCCTGTATTAGATTCTTGATTGAATTTTTCGGAAATTTCTTCAATAAATTTTACGAAAGAATTTCTTTCATTCAATTTTAAATTTTTCCAAACGATATCAATTCCATCAAAATTATATTCTTTCAAAAATTCCAAAGTACTTGAAATGAATTCTTGACGACTTTTTCTTTCTGATAATAGTGAAGCAAATAATGAATTTTTATCAGTAAACCTTATTCCTATTAATGTACGCAAATTTGAGTTCAACTTCTTTAAATTATTTAACTGATCATATCCTCCTACAAAATTAGTAACACGTTAGTTAGGATATTATTGTGTTTTCTTTTGTATTTAATTAATTTACCAAATGTGATGTCTAAGTGAGAATCAGTTGGTTCTAATTTATTATTTTCTCCTAATTTAGCATAAGCGTATATAATATGTGTACAAAGATTTGGATCGATGAAATTTTGTAAAAATCTTGCCGCACCAGTTCTATAAACACTCCAATTAGTTGTATAGCATACAATTCTATCGTTTCTAAATGAATTTTCTTCTGCTCTATCTTTAGAAATTGATGCGGAAGTTAATGAATTATTAGTTATGATTATTTGTGCAGTGCCCTCCGGCAAAGCTGTCGCTTTCACAGGTTGTGTTTCTATGAGGGCTGTTGTAGTAGAGATTGTATTCAGACTGCCTAAACTAAGGATTTCAGTTAGTAAATTAATTACATACTTACATTAACTTATATATAATTTGAAATATTTTGCTTACTTTAATTTGTTTAATAAAGCTGTTTTTGCTGTTTGAATCAATATATTTGGACCTGTTCCACATATTCCCCTAAAATCATCTTGATCGACTGTCCAAAACATTACACCTCCCAACCCCATATCAGCTACATATTCCGCTTTTGTTTTAACCATTATTTCGTCATCATATGCGACCCAATCTTTATCATTTACAATATAAGGGCCAACTTTGCCTGGATAACTTCTTATAAGCTGCCAATTTGAAGTAAGCTGTAATCCACAAATCTGCAATATAATTTAAACATTATTAAAGTTAAATGAGATAATATAAAAATTAAGAACACAAATATACTTGAAAATATGAAAGATAAACGCTATTGCTAATGTTTGTAAACTTTCCTGGATCACCAGGCCCTTCTGCAGCTGCTCCATAATTTGTCTCTCGTGCATCTTTTAAAGTAAATGTTATTCCATATGTTGGAATACCCACTACTAACAGGGTTCGGTCAATTCCAGATTCCAAATATTTAGTAACAGTAGAGTTCTTTTATTAAAACAAAAGAAAAAAATTCTTTTAACCCCAAGTTTTCATTTACTATTCATTTAATATAAATTATACAATTTCACTGTTTAAAAATAAAAATTACAACAAAATCGTTCAAAAATTTTAATTTAACTTTTAAACGAATCTCTTACTATATTATTTTTATCGTCTGGCAGTGTATCAATTGGATATAAAGGAGCATGATGATTAACTACGGTGTCGTTAGGTGTAGAGTAATCATAACTTAATAAATTATACCAATCAACTAAATCATTTAATTTCGGCAAATCATAACCTGGATCTACAAACTCAGTTTCAGATGGAATGGTAATTGAAATAAATTTGCTAAAATTATTTTAAAATTAAAAATTATCTGATAAACAACCAAAATGTTACTTACGGTTTAATACGGCCAGGAGTTTTATTCTCTTCAATAAATCTCGTTCTTATTTCATTTAGTAATTGAACAAAATTTTGCTTATCTTCAACGTCAGGATATTTCCAGATTAAGTCCATGCCATCAAACATATGCGTTTTTAAATGAATCACAATATTATCAATCAATTTTTTACGTCGTCCCGGATCGTTAATTACTTGAGAAAATTGTTTTTCAATAACTCTAATTCCAAGTAACAATTTTAGATTCTCATTAGATGAACGTAATCTTAAAAACTTAGAGTATCCACCTATAATTCATAAATATTTTTATTATTTAATTATTGTTTTCTTTATTTGCATAAAAGTTTTTTTACCTAACGTTATATCAGCATTTTCATCCGCAAATTGAATGGTTTCATTATATACATAAGCATATGCATATATTAAGTGTGTGCATAAATTTGGATCAAATTGTAGGAGATCGAATCTAGCTGGACCAGTTCTATAAACACTCCAGCTTGTTGCGTAACAAACCACTCTATCTCTAGAAATTTCTATGAATAAATTTTTAAATATATAAGTAAAATATGTTTTTTTAAGGTTTTTCTAAGAAGTTATACCATTTCCAGTACGTGTTAGTGAATTTGAAGTTGCAGTATCTTCAACATTTTGAGGTTCCGCCGACCTACTACTTCTTAAACTAAATACAAAACACAATTTTTTAAATTAAAATTTTTTCGATATATATTGCCTTACTTTAGCTTCTGCAATAAAATCTTTTTAGCTATATTAATTAATGGATAAGATTGATTTATGCAAGATCCATCAAAATCTTCTTGATTGATTGTCCAAAATGATATTCCACTTAAATTACGATCCACCACACTTTCTACTTTATCTCTTATGGTACTTGCATCATTGAAAACAATTAATTTATTTTGATTTATAGCGAAACTTCTAGTAAAAGAGCCAAAATTTTCTCTAAAAAGTGTCCATTCTGGATTGTTTTTAATATTCTTACATATCTGAAAACGACGAAAAAAACGAAAACAAAGGTAAGCTTTTTGAAATTAAAATATTTTTCTGCAGTAAATTATTAAGAAATACTCACTTCAGAATAAGATAAAATCCCAGTACTTTCACCAAATTGGAAAATGTTAAATGGATTTTTCAAAAGACCTTCCTGCCCAAAATTATTTTCACTAATTTCTTCCACATTAAACAATAAACCATATGTTGAAATCCCCAAAACGATTTTATCTCTGGTAACTCCGGCATTTAAATAATACTTAATCTGTTAATTCATTAAAATAATTTTGTTTGATAAATATTATTATTAAGTATTCGAATATCATTGAAAGCTCTTACTGGACTAATTATTTCTGTTTTATTATTTTCTAACAAAAATAATTCTTTAGAATCATAGCTCATCAAGTTAAACCAATCTACGTAACGATTGAGTTTAATTATGTCATAACCATGCTTAACATTTTCAGTGTTATATGGGACTCCAATTGAAATCAAATAATCTCTGAAATTTTAAAAATGAAGAGTTAGAAGAATACATTCCTTTTTTTGTGTTTTCAAATTGATGTCTTACGCGTTAAGTTTCCTTTTTCTTGAATCTTCTGTAAATTCTCTTCGCAAGCTTCGTAAAAATTTTTCATAATTTTTTTTGTCGCATTGTCGCTCATTCTCCTCATTTTTTAATCCAGGATTTTGCCATACTATATCTATGCCATCAAAATTATATTGTTTAATAAAATTTAAAATATTTTTAGCTAAACTTTTATGTAGATGACTCGATCTCAATATTTTCGAAAATTGTAATTTTTCTTCGTTTGAATCTTGAATTGATATTATTGTTTTTAAATTTGGATTTTGATTTTTCAATTTTGTAAAATTTAAATATCCACCTAAAATATAATAAATTATCAAAAGTTATTATTATCACATTTTATATTAATTGAAAATATTACCATTGTCTATATCAATAGTTTTATTTAAAGGGAATAAATCATCTTCAGTTAAAACAGCGTGAGAATAAATTAAATGAGTGCACAGATTAACATCAATTATATTTAGATTTAAGTTTAGAACGTTTTTTGTCTGTACATCGCTGTTGTTGAAATAGCAAACAATTTTCTTTTCTTCAGCATCTGCAAATAAGTTTTGATATACATACATATGTATACATATGTATAATTAATATATTTCCAAGTATAAATTGAATTTTTCAAAAAATTAAAATTTTTTAATTATTGTATATCACATAAAATTGGCATACTTGATTCATATATCACTTATATATATATGTATATATACATATATTGATTTTCATGAAAAATGCTAAATATTTTAATAAAATTATTTAATATTAATAGTTGTCTTAATTGGTATACAAAGTCGTATAACTTTTCCAACACGATTACCCGTTTTTCGAATTGGAAAAATGCATTTTTTCTCAAAATATCTTAAAAAAATCTGATGTGGTCAGCACATAACCGACCGCAATATGTATTGTCTATAGTTAAGTGAAAGTGCTACAGAATATTATAAAAATGTCTGTTAAATACTTCTTTCCAATTCCACAGACCGACAGGTTTCTAAAAATAGTTTATTTACACTTCCCTACTATGGAGAAGTGCATTCACCGAAAACTCGATATGCAAAATTTGTTGCCATCACATAACCTACCTATTGTTTACACAATACGGTCGGTTAAAATGTGAATGAAAGGTGACAAGACTCATGTCTATAGACATGAGTCTATAGAAATGAGTCTAAGTATACTTAGTACAAAACGAAATACGCAAAACAAATCAATTTTTCTCGCTCGAAAATTACATTCTATATTATGCAAATAAACACTCACTCAGTTACTTCAGAATAAAAGTGATGTACAAAATCAGGTAATCAGAATTGTACATTACTGTTTTAACATCTTTTCTTTGTGAATTCTAAGTAAATTCATTATTGTCATGTTGAATATTCAAGTGAAGAAATTGTAATATAATACTCGTATACATATCTACAAAAAATGTCAATAATTTAAACAAATCAGTAAGATTTAATAATTTTTATCTTAATTTAATTCCCTCATTGATAATACTGTACAGTTCTAATCGCGAGAAATTTCTGTGCTGGAATATCGAAAATACACATAATATCTATACGCATATATATAGAATCTTATATTGTATATTGTGTATATGATATTGTGTTTAGTAGTACATGTAAATGAACTATAATTATATTATATTAAGAATTACTAAGTTATTTTTATGTTTCAAAAAATAAAATTATCTATTATTACTTATTATAATAAATTTTACTTCATTTCATTGTGACTGAACTTGTTGTGATTCTTGATGATTGAAAACTCATAGAACTTAAAATAAATAAATTATTTATTTTAAATTTTATTCAACTAAAAACGATAGCTAACTGAAAAACATATCATTATTGAAATCAAATTATATGTGATTGTAATATGAATTGAGAAAATATTTATATTAACTCATTATTCCTGTACGAACGAATATTGGAAGGGTATTGTTAATCTATAATCTCAGATATAGCAAGCATATACCCATGCCTGTTCGTTTACATGTCTTGATGCGGTTTTGAAATGTCTGTTCGAGATATTTCAAAACCACATTCGGATGGGCTAATCAAATATTTGGAAATTTCTTATAGTAGTTACAGTACAAACCCTATCAAATTCCAAAAAAAATTTCATCATATCTCAGAAACAATAAACCCTACCCAAAATTTGCATAAAGGGATTTGTATTCAAACTTTGCATTAGGCCTAAAGAAATTTGGTTATAATGTGGTTGAATGTCGTTGACGTTAAAGCTGCCATACAACTCTAAAAATAATTTTGTTATATCTAGAGAGTTATAAATTATACACCATTCGAATATTGCAGTAAGCTGGTAAGATAATAGGACCATTATTTATTAATCTAAAAGTCCAAATTAAATTTAGTTGTGGTTGTATAATTTCTTACAATATTTGTTATATAACTTCAAAATTACTTCGGTCATATGTCGGAAACTAAGGTAACAATTTTTGAATTTTTAAGTCTACTGATAGATTACAGTTGTGCAAGTACTACTATAGCTACAAAACTACTCCACAAACAATTTGAAGGTCTATAACAAGTTTAATAAAAGGACTAACATTTTAACAAAAAGTATAAACCAGAAATATAGACAGCATTATACACGTATCACAAAGTTGACATGGTCAACTCTATTTTTTCTCGTTATATAACAAATTTACTATGTAATTGTTATAAAATTCCTTATTTAACTTTATAAATAAAATATTAAAACTGTCAAAAGAAGACAAAACTGCCTAAACCAGAATTAATAGTTCAAGTTAGTTAGTTAAAAATAATTCTTGAAAAAATTAACAAAAACGAACATTTTGATTAACATTTTTTGAAATTATTTGATATAACAACAATAGCACATTTCTCAATCTAAAGCAGATTTTTGAAATCATATATACTATTTATTTAAATATAATAAAAAAATTTCTTTAAAAAGTTTTTTCGCACTTAAATTTGAATACCTTAGCTTATGATGGAATCGAACTAAATTTTGATGCAATATATTCGCATATATACTTACTACATGGGAAATCTGGTTTAAGTAGTTTACCCATTATTTGACCCACATCTAATAAAGGAATTATCTAATATTATTAGATTATAGTTCAAATTTAGTAAGGAATTTTGTGTTTTAACTAAGATTGTGTTTCCTTTTTCTTGTTTTTATTTTTAAAATTTCATGAATTCCAATGATGCACCCAGTAACGCTTTTATAAGTTCGATTAGCAAACCATTTCAATTTGGAAAATAAAATTTAATGTGTGATTGTCAAAAATAATGATTTAAAAGTAATCGAATCCACTATGAATTCAAGCATAAATATGATATTATAATCGATTAACCAGTTTAATTGAAATTTCCAATGACAATTTTTTAAATTCTCATTGAATTCAGAAATATTTAACAGCAAAGCATATGCAATATTTATCGTGATAATATTCTGGGATTTTTTATTGTTTTCAAAGTAAATTTATCCATTTAGAAAATATGCCGTGAAATAAATTTTTCAAAATTTAGAGCGACATTTTTATGACGTGAAGCAAAATTTTAAACCTGTGTATACAACATAAAATTTCTATTTCATTTATGTTAAAAATCGTTACGGAATTTTCAATAAACTGCAGGGCTTGAGTTCACATACATCAATGTGAACTCACACCATCAATCAATTACTAAATAAGTAAAATGTGCGCCAGATTAAGACAACCTGTCTTAAACATATGTATAATAAATGGCCAATGATAATGAAAATAAATGTTTTATCATATTCCTTTACCTTAATTTTAACTTAATATTTATATAGCATACGCGTACTTGAAAATAATACTTGTTTTAATTACGCATTTAATTACGCTTAAAAAAGAACTAGTTTTTGATAAATTTAAACTGATTCTGGTAAAACTATATTTAAACATTTTTTATTCCATTCGAAAATACAATTGCAGTTTTTTTGCTTCTATTCTTCATCTCCAATTATTGTTTAAAGTATGGTTTCTTCATACTACTGCCTAATAGGTCAATAAACTTAAAATTAATATATTTGTATGTATGCATGATTTACAATTTATTACTGGAGAGAAATGCGTATAAGAATTTAATTACCAATGTCGATGTCCTTGAAAAATCGAAAAAAAAAATTTCAGAAGAAACGAAAATATGCAAATCAAATAAATATAAATTTTTTAAATCCGGTTTGTTATAGCATAGAAAAAGGCAAAAACTCTTAAAAAATAAAAGTATAACAGATTTATGACAAAAATTTTGGAAAATCTGCCTAAGAAGAATAATATACTTATAAATAAAAAAAAATTTAACTACACTACGTATAAAAAGGATAAATGATCCTCAGAACTACTTCCCTTACGTTCTGTTAAATTTAGCTACAAGCACAATACTTGTCTTAAAATGAATGTCAAAATAAATGCAGTCAATATAAAAACAATTGACATTATTTGTATGTGCTTCTCTTTTCAAGTTCCATAAGTTTTCTGCGACTAAATCTCACATAAAACTTTTTCCTATACAAAAAAATAAAAAAAAATTATAATATTTTCTGCAACAGATTAAATAAAATTGAACCAAAATAATGGTTTCTAAGACTTTTTCCAAGAAAATGCTGTTTTTAAAAACAATCTCCTATCTACATCATTCAAATTACTTTCGTTTTTACTTTCATAAAATCAAATACATACAAGTGACATTTTTAAAACTTTGACTGGTTACAGCTTTTAGAGGGGAGGGGTAAGACACAAACTTTCTTTTGTAGACATAACTTTCTATATGCCGAACCCACGGACAGGAGGACAGAGTGAAACTTATACGAGTAACTACTTTTTTTCAACGTTTTTTTTTTTGGAAAAATTCTAAAAATTTGTTTTCAATCATAATCTAATCACCAGTTAAAAAATAGTACCTAATTTAACAGCCTGATAATTAAACCGAATTTTTTTAAATAAATATAAGTACATAAGTCTCGTTTATATTTTTAATCTGTATATGTTACGATTTGTTATCCCAGTTATAATTCCTTTTGGTTTAAGAATTAAAATAATTAGTAGTTGATTTGTTCACACACTAAGATAATTTTGTTGTGTGTTCATCAAATTAAATATACATATAACTATGTATACGTTTAGAAACAAAATTTACTTTTTCAAAAATTCTTAGATGAAAATTTGAAAATAAATAAAAAAGTTATTTCTATTTACTATTATAGTCATCAAAACCGTTTATAACATTTATTTGATTTTACTTTTTTTAGTTAAACTATACTTAAAACTATTGATGCACATGCGTTCATTTTATTATGCAAATGATATTGAAAACAAAAAATATTAAATTCTTTACTTACCAACAGGAATACCGTATAAAAAAATTATTAAAATGAAACCAAGTTTTGGTGTAGGAATCTTTAAATAATTCAAAAAAAAACATATTTAGTTGCATATTATAATAACATAATTAAATAAATATTTATTTATAAATTATAAATTAATCATAAAAATTATTGAATTATAAGATATGTAATTAAATTTCTTAGTATTATGTTAATTCAATTTATTATTAGTTTTATAAAATCACTTGTAATAATTATTAACAGTCATAAATTTTTTTAATTTACAGCCATTTTTTAATAAAACACTCAACTTTGTATGCTTGTATTTAAAATATTTTCAATACTCTGCAAGTATATTTGATAATATATAATTCATTTTGTGGATTAAAATATTGAAAAATATTTTATTTCACTTTTACTATATAGAAATTTATAGCTTGAGCAATATTTATAAATATTTATATATTGTATTTCTTGATCAGAAAATCAGAAATCCTCTAAAGAAACCATAAAAAATAAAAGCATTTTATAAAATGTAGTCAATCAAACCCATGATTTACGTTGTGAAGTACAATATTTCTTTTTAACAATTTAAGTTTCGAAGTATTTTTTATCGAAATCATAAGAAGACATGTCAGTTAGATCTTACCTAGACCACTAAAAATTGTTTTGAGATAATCCCTGAGAAATCATTATTTATTATCCGATAAATAAAAATGATTACATAAACAACTAAAATTAATTTTAAATAACTTTGAAAAACTTCATCATTATTTATTATTGTAAAGAATTTCCTTAATTTAATTGCAATCTGTACACTTCATAAAATTTTATTTCAATCATTATTTTAATTATTTTTTGAATATAATTATTTAAAAATCTAAAGCTTTTATTTATTAAAGTTTAATACTCATTTATGTATTTAAAAAAAATGACAAAAATTTATACCAATATTAAATTTATTATAAAAATAAGGAAAAACTGTTTGGAAATTGCCAAAAAATCAACAAAATATATATTATAGAAACTTGCATAGCATACATATGCTAATTACATAATGTATATCACCTCGTGTCAGTTATTACGGCAATAACAACCTTCTACAACAGAAAATTAACCGCGAAAACTAGTTATTATTTATTAATAAACATTTTAATAATTGAGTAAAATCCACTATATACCAGGTGTTTCGCATAACGTGGCAAATAATTTCAGCAATGATGTTTTGATCAATTTCCAGCAAAAAATTGTATGTGTGGGAGTTGGGGGGTTGCAGGTATACTCGTTTTCGAACTAGAGTCTCTTGAAAAAGAGGTTGATCAATTTGATTTGCACTATAGTTTTTGAGATAAGGTCAGAATTTTTGTTTTTTCTTTTGAATTTTTTTTTAAAACACGAAATTTCTCGAAAATTTGTCTATTTTTTTTTTTTTCTGTGTTTTCGATGCGTTGCAATAAGACGTAAAAGTTAACCCATCTAATATTTCTGTCTCTATCACTAACAGTTGTGCTAGAAAACGGGATATGCTTGAAAAAACGTGAAACGTTCATATTTCATAAATTTTATACAAATTCCTTATTATATACCAAACTAATTTCCTAAATTAGTTCCTGTATTTCGAGTTTTTTTAAAAATTCAAGAAAACTTCTAGTTTTAGCTCGAAAACAAGTGCATTTGCACACCCCTCCTCCAACCATACAATTTTTGCTGAAATCATCCCTGAAATAATTTGCCACCTTACGCGAAACACCCTGTATTTGTAAAATATACTAAAAAACATAATTTAAATGAGCGTAACTATTAAGTCAAGATTTATAATTTTTAACAAACTTAAATTTGTTTGTTATACATATACATATAAACATATTTATTTATATAAAAACTATCATTTTATATAAGTATCTCTTTGATAATTTAGTTTGTATTTTAATCTTTCAATATATTTCATAAACAGTTTTATATTAATATTTTTCTTAATGAACTTAATTAAATCTGATTTGGTAGAAAAGAAAAATAACATATGTAAAAACACTGATCGTGAAAATTTTTTAATATTATTTCTTATATAACACATTTTCACACCGTTATTAATCACTCATTAATAATGATTTATAAAATATTTTAAATTTTTTTTATATTCTTCATATTTATCATAAAATATTAGTAATTTTTTATATATTTTTTTTTAATCAATTATGTGAAAAATTTATTCTTTACTTTTCCCATTATGTTGCCGTTTTGTTATAATTAATTTAATTTTTTTTACAGATCTATTTTTAATTACTCAATCGAACATATTAAAAAATAAAAATAATTTAAGAGGAAATCGTTTTAAAATTTTTCTTTATTTTTCAATAACTTTATTCTTTAAACCATCAATAAAAACTGAAAAAAATTCTGAGCTTTATAAATTTTTTTATAATTTTTACTTGCTCACTTCACCTGTCACAAGTATGGTTTTTTCCCAAGGTGAGTAATAATCACAAAACAAAATACATAAAACATGCTAATAAGTTCAGCGATGATTCTTCTTAAGGAAATTCACAACAGAATAAAACAACTAAAAATAACTTGTTATAGCTTTATTATCACTCGATATCAAAACAGAGCGGCATAATAATACCATAATATACAGATTGACTTTTCTATATATATAAACTAGCTATACATAAAATTTATATTTTATTAAAAATATAAAACTAGTTTGGTTAAAATTAAAACAAATATATTAAAACAAAAAATTTTTAAATTTTTTATTACAAAATTACAAGGGTGTTACGTATAGAGAGAGCTTTACTTTATTTTTTTAATTATTTTACACCAATTTCATTTGAGAAATCAGTAAAAAAACCCAAAATAAAATTTTATACAAAATTAATATATATAAAAAAGCAAGATCTAAAATGTTAACAAACCCGTATACGTATAGGCTCTTTATTACATACCCACGAACATTAATCATTACACTTTAAACAAGAACTTAAAATGTGCAATACGAAACTTCATATGTATGTACGTCTGTACATATATTCTTAGTTTGCCTTAATATTTATATAACAAATTTATATTATTAATACATTGAGAGAGTGCATTTCACATCTAACAAGTCACACACGTCAAGTTTACATTATACATGCAAAATTATATGGACTTATTCCTTGAACAAATAAGGATATTTCCCTTTAACAATTTAAGTCTGGAGCTCGTACATTTTCAATGCTTTTAGTGGTAATGTCTAATTTTTCAATGTAGTCTTCGAAAATTTTACTTGTAGATACCAACACTTGTGGCGAATATGTAATAATTATTCCTGTTTGAATTATGTTACTAATCCTGATAAAAATCCTGTAACACAACTTCTCACACAACAAGAGAAGTTATAGTAAAATTTAAATTTACGTAAGACGGTAGCACAAAAATTTTCTCACAGAAACCTAAAACAACTTCTTTTAACCAAAATTACTGCCTGTTTAATTTAACTGTTACCCTAGTACACACAATTTTTAAAGTTATTCTTAAGAAGAAAGATTTAGTTATAAATAAAGTAATTTTTAAAATAGAGTAAAGAACTTTCTTTAAATCCTTAAATTTCTAAGCATCTAATTACAAACAAATGGTTTGGTGGACTACGTTGTTTTTCTGTAAAAAGCTTACATCTGTTTCCTGAAATTTCATTTGAAATTTGTCTACATAGTACTTAAAATAAAATTAAAAATATGTTTTTGTTTTAACACATTTATTAAATTATCCTTAACTAAAATTTTTGAAACTTCGTACTTACAGAATGTATTATGTACATTAAAATTATAAAATTACATCAATTTTTAACCGTCGATAAATTTTTAACCAAACGTAGAGAACACTTACACTATGCAATTATGAAAAATAAAATAACGAAATATATAATACACATTTCTGCAAGGTATGAATGATGTGTTCAAACTGTTTAAGTTAAATATTAAATTAAAAACTCTCAAATTAATAAATTATATAATTAATTCCATAATCTTAATTTATAAGCCTATAATAACTTAAATAAATAACTTTTTTTGTAAAATAACTTTGGTATTATTTTCGTTGACTTGATTTTTGTTCACGTTCAAGCTATTACAACCATACGCTGCTTATCAACCTGCAAATATTTTTTTAAAATATTTTTTTTTAAACATTAATTTAATTATAGCACATACATATTTACCAGGATTTTTTAAGACGCTTCAAGTGTATGAAAAATGATGCGTCTTAGAAAACACTGATCAATAATTTAGTAGTTTTCTATTTACTTAATTTAACAATTGTACTTACTCAAAATGCTTTTTCGGAATGTTTTTTGCGAAATAATAGAGCATAACATGATAAACTACTGACCATGTTCTGAAGGGTGATAAAATAAATGCGAAAAACCCATGAATCCAAAGAACAATAAAAGCTAAAATAATTTCAATTAAAATCAAAAGTGAAAACGGAAAATTTCTCCAAAATTTCGCAAACATGCTAATACAAAATTTTTTCCGATGTGATAAGTCAACTGGTTTTTTGTTATCGCTAAGCAAATTAAAACGCTTTTTTACCTCATATGCATATATAAAATGTAAAGGAAATTGGCAGAATGTTAACTGAAAAGCTCCATAAATATATGTAAGAGTTCCCGGAACAAAATGGCCTTTAACAAAATATCCCCACAAAAATACCACACCCATATATCCATCAACAATTTCAATAAAAGACCAAGGTCCAATAGAAATATAGATGCAGTATGAAATTAATGGTACAAAAAGACGATCAATTGATGACAGAAGACCAAAATTTGTCACGAAATTTCGCAATATTTTACTTTTTATTCTGGGTTTCTGTACTTTTCCACATCGTACCAATTCAAAGATGATACGAAAAATACATAAAGGTATAATACATCCTGCAAGAGCTATTCCGTAGATAATTTGAAATATTTGAGTTAAATCAAATGTAAGAATAATGCTTGCCAATACATCGAAATTCATTCGAGTCCCATCTAACGAAAATGGATGTTTAATCTGCAAAAATTTGAAAATATTCACTGTTAACCCAAATAAATGTGTTTTATTCTTACAAACTTGACATTCCCATCCATTGTCCTGACATGAATGAATATATTATGTATTCCACTTTTAAATTTGGATGGATCCCATGCTACCACATGTAGAACATCACTAACTTGCAAACAGTTTACCCAATTTTCCAGATGGTCGTCAAATTTTATTCTGCAATTTTCTACTTTTGTAGGAGCAAATATCAGTATTCGAATAAACTTCGAGTTTTTTTGTATACTAATATTTTCTTTATGAGGCATATTATACAAAGCATTCTTTGGATTTGTTACTAATATTATGGGCCATTCATTATAACGAACATCGGTAAATGAAAACAAACCATGATCGAAAGCAGCTACGCGAAATCTGAAATTAAAATATAAATTTTTATTTACTATTCATTCAAATTTATTATACAGGCGATGTTTTTTCCAATCTCCCAGTTCCAACTCCAAAAACCCATTTTTATGTAAGGCATACATCCTTGGAATGAAACCTCCTTGTGTATGAAAATGACCACATAGATAAGCATAGTTTTCTTCGAAACTGCCTATAATTTCCCGTAATCCCTTTTCACCACCTGGCGACAAAATGCAAGATGTTGGATAATGTCCAAAAAGAATGGTATAATTTGAATTTGAAGCTCTCGCATCTTTATTCATTTTAACTAAATCTCTCAAATCACTAGCACTGAGCATTCCTACAAAATGAAGTTGTCTTTTTGGCCCTGGCTCTAAGGATGCATCAACAGCAATAAATGTATATTTTTCTCTTCCCACTACAATCTATAGAAATAGGAGTTTATATCAAATAATCAATAAAGAAAGAATAAAATAAAGTCTAAATAAATCTTTGTATTTTGATTTTATTCCTACCTACCTGCTGCATATAAGATCGCCTAAATTTTCTTCCTTGTACTGAATATTTTGAAAAGTAATTTAAGCTCGAATCACTGTGAGGCACATTAAAATAATCTAAAAATACGTGTCCAATAAAAATAAGTTTAAATATACAATGGCATAACCATATTTTTTTATTAACCATGATTTCCACGGACATCCATCCACAAAGTTTTTTCAGTAACATTTGCTGACATCAATGTGTTCCAATAAATATCCCACTCCTTCTCGTATGTCCTACTACTAAGTTTGTTTTTGTCTAGCATAATTTAAAAAATTTCAAAAGCAAATTTTACGATAGCACAAACTTGAACCACTAACCTTTTCCATCTGTTAGATCTCCTGTAGCCAATACAGCTTGAGGTTTTATTATGTCAATAGTACTTTTAGCAAAATCTCTAAAATCAGAAATTCTAGTTTGGTCTTCAAATATGCTGATATGTAAATCAGATACCTATAGGTTATAATTGTAAAATAAAAATTAAGTAATATATATTTAAATCTAAACCTGCATGAACCACATCAAATGATTATCCGAATTACCGAGAATCATATCATTCTGTTTTAAAAATAACCCTTTATTTCCCAGACTCTGTGCTTCCATTTTCAATTTTTCTAAAATTTCGTCATCAGTAAATATTTTACTAGCAAAATTAGCTATTAGTATTGAAGAAAGTATTATGATAACGAACACTAATAAAGCTGATATAGAATTCATCTTAAAATGTTTCTAAAAAAAATTTATCACCGCAAAAATTGTGTTTTTGATCGATGTTTTTTTAACGTTGGACAAAAAATGTAACATCAGAAAAATTCTATTAATCAATAAAATATTTAAATATTGAATATGTCACGGTTCTGTATGAAAATGTTTTAATTCTAATTTTATATCTTTTTATGTGTCAAAATGTAAACTTAAACTTAGGATCCCGAAGATAAAAATGTTTATTAAATTTTTTCTTAAAAAAACAAAATTGAACTTGACAACGGTTTTATTCTCTTACTTTACTCCTTCAAAACGTCAAATAAATGGAAAACACACTAAAACATTATGCAGTAGCAGTAGCAATATTCTTGACATAACAAAATATAAAAAGAATTGCTGTCAGCAGTTTATATATATGTATATCGGTATGTACATCACGTTTTACTTTAAAAATTACGTCATAAATCATATGAATTCCACGTGGCGTGATGGGTACCAAAAAACTCTATATTCTTTAGTATTATCGTCACAGAATTTTATTTTAAAAACATCTGAGCTAAGTACATTCTGAATACAGCAACAATTCAGTTAAAGTACGAGTTTATTATTTATATGCAGGAAATTTTAGTTTAACCAAGAAAAGTAGTTTTTCAAGAATTATTTCTTTTAATTAAAATTAATATTTAACAAACAATAGCTATGTTTATACTGCAAATTTTGCATATCAATGGTTAATACACATTTGGTATGATTATCATTTCATAAAATGAAATTAAACCAAATCAAATGAATTTCTTCATTCCGAAGTATATTTTATTAGTTCATACCATAAATTATGTTAAATTGTCAATATTAGTACAAAATTCAAAAGTAAACCTGGATATAAAATATTAATTTTCTCCATTTTTCGGGAACGAAATTTTTTTGGGAACGAATTGTCATGGCAACAATTCGTTCCCAAAATTTTAAGATTTCGTCTGGAACCTTAGCATTTCACCTGTATCCCATATTTCTACGATTATATTTTCCAAATACTGGTACTGGTCTGGATTTAATATGAACTACAAAATATGTGAATAGCCAATTATAATTTTATAACTGATAAGAAAAAATGCCTCTATTGACGTACAACTATTCACATTCGTTACGATACGATTTTGTGCATTTAGACGTAACCTTTCCGTTCCCTATAGTACAGATAGCACTCATTTATCTCTATAAATTTCAAATCATGACCTTATACGAGTATATTATGCTATACATATTTGTCTTTTTTTTTCTTAATTTGTTTAACATCTAGTTTCGAAACGTAACATCAACTCACTCGAGCAACTGTGGTAGAAACTGGTGCTATGTAGTATATGTTTAGTGTTAATTAAAAAATGCATACCAACAAATTTGTCAACGGCAATTTCATACATATACCTAAACAAAAAAATTAATTTCTTCACGGCAACACTAATTTAAGCTCTGCTCATAGCGGGCAATTATGTTGATTATATATGTATATATATATATATATGTGTGTGTGTATGTATATATAATATGTATGTATACGCTTATATACTTATGCAGATAGAAACAAAAATTTATAATATCATTTAAAAAACTCTAGGTAAATCTAATTAACAAGTGTAATTTAATGTTGTTTCAACTATTAAAACCCGACAAGATCTTCTAAAATGTTGCACATTCCATTAATAGTCAATATTTTCATATCAATTGGAACATATTTAATGACATTGCGAATGATACCGCGATTTAAAGAAATGTTTATATCAGCCAGCTTGTATGGGAAAGATTTATGTAAAAAAACTTCAGATAAAATGTAAGAAAAATCAATATATTTTTGAAAACTAATTAAAGTTTGAAATTTTTTTTAGACCTGAATCTCTTGGTGTGATATCTGGTTGTATATTTCTTGTTGGGTTATTTTTATTCATTCCTATACCATTCAGTTTTAAAGAACAAACAACCAAATCAAACGAATTCCCTCATTCGGAAGTATATTTTATAGAAATCTAAAAACTAATAAAACATCTTTTTAATATCCGAAAACTTATTTTTAATAGTTTGTCGAATTAGTAGCTGCATTGTTGTCAATATGTTGCATGATTTTGTTAGGATTTGCTGACGATGTCTTAAATTTACGGTGGAGACATAAACTTTTATTACCAACCATTGCAACATTACCTATATTGATGGTATATTATGTTAATTTCAATTCAACGACAATAATTATGCCAAAATTCATAAGGCCATTAATAGGTCATTCATTAAATATAGGTAAAATTAATTTTGTATAAACAAGTTACTGCAATAGAATAGACTAAAAACTACTTTCTTTAGGTGTTCTCTATTACATATATATGGGAATGTTAGCAGTATTTTGTACTAATGCTATCAATATTTTAGCTGGAATAAACGGGTTGGAAGTTGGGCAGTCCATAGTTATTTCAATTTCAATACTAATATTCAATATTATTGAAATTTTAAATAACAATCAAATTAGTGGACATTTATTTTCCATTTATTTAATCACACCATTTCTAACCACATCTCTTGCTTTATGGAATTATAACAAGTAAGTTTTCTATTTCTTATCAATTTTTTAATAGCTTTCATTTTTGCTCTAATTGAAAGAATTTTAGTTCCAATTTTAAACCAGAAACACAACTGCTATAGTAAAATATGTATTCGATATGTATTCTTATTTAATTTTTACACATTATTTATACAAGTAACGTGTATGTATGTATATGTATGTACATATTATGAAAAAAATTGTTAAGCTGTGAACATGGTTCATAGGTCCATTGGTCTATCATGAATGCCTATTTACTATGAATGTATTTACGAAAAGTGCCTATCAAATTAGTTAAAACCTGAAATAAATAGTATTAAATAATAAATGTGAAATAATACCTTCACTTATCTAAATGAAAGAATTATTGATTTTTAAAATACAAAAAACTTTTAATTTTCGTATATTTTTATTGTTAATATAAAATTAAACTAACTTATGTTAAAAATAATATTTTAAATATAATAACAAAAAAGTATAAATATATATAATTCAAATTTTTTATGCTTATAAATTACAAACTTCAATCATAAATTCATTTAGTACCTAATAATATTGTTTTCTTGCTAAAGAAACATAAGATTCTTTCTTTGCATTTTTAATGCTTCAGTTCTTGCCACTGTAGGCAATAAAATCCTTTATCGTAAATATTTTTGAAAATTTCAAAAATTTTTACAGCAGTCTTTTAAGTATATTTAAATATATTCTAATTTATTTCATTGTTATTCACATAATGTTTTATCATACAAAGCAAAAACACAAAATTATATTTCATAAGAGTTACAGTAAAATTAAATTAATTGCATTATATCATGTTTTTGATGTGTTCCAAATTCCAAAACTAAAATATTATGTTTCAAAAGATATATGTATGTACATGCGCATGAGTTGGACAGTAGTTGCTCATACATATGCACATATACACATATACACATATGCACATATGCACATATTATTATAAACTACCTCAAACTTAATTACTTATTTTATATAATTGAATTATATTTTAAAGTGTTCAATTTGCAATTTGAAAAAGTATAAATGTAAAAGAAATACTTCAAAGCATTTTGAAAAAGGAATGTTTCAAAATGCTTTAAATGTTTTTTTTAAGTATCAAAATTTGAAAATTTCAGCTTCTTGTACAAATTATATGAAATCGCATTATAAATTATTATTTGAAATTTTTTGCAACTTATGCTTTTAAAATATATTATACTATCCTAATGCATAATATTTTTATTATTATTATTAACTAACTCAAACTTATACATGCATACTTAATTCATTTTCTATATTCATAATCATCATTTATTGAAACAAACATATTTACTAACAGATTGTTGAATTTCCAAGAATTATTTTCAACGTAATCTGGAGAATAATATTTATCACTATATCTATGCTGTTTCGTTAAACCTACTTTACCATCTATGTACAGTCCACTAGCAATTAAATTTTGTATATAATTAGAATCAATTTGACCGTTTTTAATTTGTTTTGGAAAAAGTATTTCGTTTGTTTTTAAATTTTGAGGAACTAATGAAATTTTCGCATCAGATTTTGTTACTGATTCTATTGTTAATTTATCAACAATTTCATTAGGTTGATAACAATATCTACAATACCAGCCACCAATATGATTTAAGTCACCTATTAAAAGTGATGGCTTTTTAGTATTCAATAATCGTTCAGGATCACCTTTAAAATTTTTTTCTAAATCATTTATGGAACATAAAGCACTACTGATTTTGGTTCCAAGAGGATGTTGCCAAAAAAAACCATATACATTATATTTTAAACGAAATCTTGTTACTCCGCCGAAAGGACGGTCATTTCCATATTGAAAATATTTAATGGCTCTATAATTCAAAATTTCATCATCTTCACTAAATACAAAAATATCATTTAATTTTAAATTATCTAAATTTGATAATTTCGATTTGAATCCTTCGTAAGCTAATTTGGGTGTGCACTTCCCCTTAGAACTAATGTTATTACTAGGTGATTGCTCATCACATACTAAAATTCTTTTATAAAGCTCAGGAGATACCTTTAATTTTAATTTCTTCTCTATCGATACTTTATTGTAAAAATTATGTGTTGTTAATATATTTTTTGTTTTAAACGGTTTTTGACAAAGTATAAAATAATCAACTGATTTAGATAATTCTAATAATTGAATTTCCAAAATATCTAAGCTAATAAAATGCCCTGTTATCATATAGATTATTTTGTTTCTTAATTTTTCATTGATTTTGATTTTACTTTTTAAAGTTCTTACTCTAGAAGTCATTAAAGCACGCCATATAATTTCCGGTTGAGAACAATCTTTCCCATGCCATTCTACTTTGCAACGACATTCCTGTATATTTTTATAAAGAGCTGTATTATTGTCTTCATCGCTTTAAAAGAAAAATATATAATTATTTATAAAATTTGTATATTTCACAAAAATGCTTAATTTGCCTTACGAATCAATAATTGTTCCCTGCCGAAAACAAGTTACATTTTTATTTAAATTGCGACCAGACTCTGTAAAAATATAAAAATCATCTTCAAAATTTGCATGAGATTCCAAATCAATTATTGATATGTTTTTTTCCACATTAAAACCTTCATCATTTTTTAAATTTTTTGTAATAAAATACACAAAATCATCTTGCTTATTTCTGTTTCGGTTTTTACTACTAATAACTACATAGTTTTCAGTGGTTACACTATCCTCTTGTTGATAAAACCAATAAATTCCAAAAAGAATTATTTGCAGCAAAAATAAGCACCAGAACAGAATTTTAACTGTTGAACGAAATCTTTGAAGGTACATTTTTAAAATTTACATCTTTTATTTCTAAAAAAAGAAAATTTTGCTTCTTTTTTCTCTTAATATTAACACGCCCAAAAATATTATAGATGTTACATGCGTAAATATTTAACAGAAATAATTGTGATGTTCATTTTTGAAATTATGGCCAATATGCATATTAAAAATTATTATGAATATATTCAAAGTATTGTTAAATTTTATGTATTATTTTTAAATTTAACTTTGAGTATTTGAGTAAATGACTTCACTTTTTGATTCTTGTTGCACAAGTAAATTTAATCGTTATTCTGTCTGCTGGCTAAAATCTTCTTAGTCAAAACAGCTGAGTGTTCAAAACAACATTTGACGATAATAAGGCACATGTTTTTGGCGTTTCTTCATTTTTAATCTGTAAATAAAAGTGTTTACACAAATTTTGGTAACACAAAATTTTGTATAGGATAGCTAATACAATTTTTAACCTTAAGGAAAGTTTGCATTGACTAGTTATTGCATCAACAACTTTAACTTTTATTTTTGCTTTTACTTTTTAACTTTTTAAAAAACTACATACTTTTTCTATTAGTACAGTTCGACAGTTCACTAACTATGCATCAAAAACTCTACAATTTTGTTATTAATAGATTTAAAATTTCAAAAACGGGTTGGCTTAATAGACCACGAAAAGTTATATAAAAACATAACATATTAGGTTCCTTCACAAAACAGAATTAAATTTTAACTCAATTATACTTAAAAAAGTAATAAGCTATGTTTTATTTTTTATGCCAAATATTTAACTTTTAGAAATTGTATTAAATTTAACAAAATATACTTTGACGTTGTCAAAATATAACTCAATCATTTTAATCAAGTAATTTTAAAGAGTGTCTAAGTGTCGACTCTCGAGACATATTTTTTTTAATAAATAGGTCTGATGCCGGTTCTTTTATTTTATTTGTATGAAATTGCGACAAATTAGTTTTTATCTATGCAAGTACGTCTGTTAAAATGTTATATGAAGGAACAGAGTGGGTTTTAAAAGCAGTGCTGCCAGAAACTCTGCAGAAGAATATGCTGGAATTAGGTTAAATTTCAGCCCGATTTATTCTGAGTTTGAAGGAATTGCTACCAATATTAATACTATTATTTAAATTTCTAGTGAAGTTGTTAATATTAGATTAGAATTTACTGAATTTTATCCAGGTATCGCCGTCTTGTTTTATGTAAAAATATACGTACTAAAATTTTTTTAAACTTTAATAATGCGTATTTGTGAATTACAGTTATATTTAATTACTAATTATATCATCAATTTTATTTATTTTAATAGTTGTTTACTGCATTAGCATCAAAACAAAAATACAAAAATGAAAACAGCAGAAATAAAGAAAAGAAATGAGGATTTATTTTTATAATTTTTTACAACAAGAAATACTACTTAAAAAATAAATACATACTTTTAGTTGGGTATAACGTATCGGTATAACAATAATGACTTCTTTTTGATTTTCTATTATTCAAATTTTATATATACCTACACCAAAAATACTTCAGAATGAACCAGCTTTTATATTATCATCTATAACAGTTTAAGGTGTTTAACCTTTACAACCCATTTGTCGTTATTCCAATTTAATTTAACTTAATTAGTTTTCATATTAAAACAACTCAATTATCATTTTAAAAAAACAGAATATTAAACAGAATAATTTTAACAACATATCAGTGAAATTAAAATATCATTTTTTTTTGGAACAACCTACCATTCTGATATTTCTTATAAAACGTTTGAATTTCACTTCAAGCTATGAATCGTGCAATTTGTAGCGGACAAACTGGGCCAATCTAAAGCCATTGGCAAATCTGACTATAAATTTGATTCTCAACACAAATATATATAAAGGAGTCGCAAATCTTACCTTCTTGGTGTTACATATCTCGTGACCAATTGAATTTTTAGAGTTCACATAAAATTTGGAATGAATTGTTTATCTATAAATATACATGATTTGAATGACAATATAACGTGTACTTCAAAACTTTTGCAACATGTTTCGGTATTTTACGCCTTAGAACGCAATCTAATCTGGAAATGTCCAATAGTAATATTGAATCTTTTGAATTTTCAGGGCAATACTTAATTTCATGACTTAATTTTAAGGTTGTTATAATTTTATAAAAAAAAGTACAAGTTCTTCTTAAGATTTAAAAAAAATGGACTTTGAAAAGAGCCGTTTAGTTTAATTAATCTTAAAAGCTCCATTTAGGCCAAATAGGCAACACTAGTTCAAAATTCAAATTTAAAAATCTAATAGACTACACATATGAAGCCATCTAGTAAACTATGGTAAATCTCAGTTTTACATACATCTTACTGGTAGTTACTTAATCTGGTTTGTTTAGTTGACTTTTTTGAGTTCATAATCTAATAAACCAAATATGTACTCAGATGTACATCGAATCCTCTTGCAAGCTTGTGCAAATAATGGATGCTTGAAAATTAATAACGCTTTGCAAATTTTAGAAAAAGCAATTGAAGGGAATCAAGACCAGGAAAACGAAATCAATAAAGAAAACCTTAAAAAGTATATTAAAGAAATAAATAACAAAATCTCAAATATGGGTCAGAAACTTGAAGTAATAAAACATGAATTTTTAAAAGAAGATTTCCTAGTTTTCGCTAATACTGTCCAAGTAAGTTAATGTGTAAGAAATTCAATCGAACAACAATTTTGTATTATTTGTTTTGACATTGCAATAGGATTCAATAAATGAATTCCAACTTCAATATAACCCTGCTGAGTTGATGTATTTGAGAATTTTGCTAAGAAAAATTGTAGAACATCCAGAACATTGCTTGAAAATTATTTTAGCAATCAACAGTGTTTGTGATGTAAAAGAAAAAAACATTCCTAAAGCTCAAGCCGAAAATCTTTTAGATAACTGGAAAAACTTAGGCTATTTTATAATCGAAAATGACTGCGTGTGGTTAGGACCACGGGCAATCGTAGAATACGGCAATGTACTAAAACTACAGTTCCCTAATGAAATTCAGACTTGTCCGCAATGCAAAGTTGTTGTTTTTTATGGAGTTAAATGTGGAAATGAGAACTGTGAGACTTCATTTCATCGAAATTGTGTTGCGGAACATTTAACACATTTTTCCGATTGCCCATCTTGCAAAACCTTGTGGAAAGGCACAAAGTAGTTGTATATTCAAATCTTAATATATGCATTAATCATTTAAAAACGCTTCCAACAAGGTTTGGAAATATTTTTGGCATGATTTTGATGTTGTAATTTTATACTAGTATACATACTTAGTTGAATATTCATACATGTATATTATTTTTAATACAAAAAAATATTAATAATTTTATTGAAATTAAAAATATTTGATTTACAAAATTTGTTTTATTTATATAAAATATTTTTTTTTCAGATATCCAGCTGAAATTTTTGTTGGCGATACATTTTGTTATTTTGCTGGAATGACTTTCGCTGTTGTTGGAATTTTAGGTCATTTTAGTAAAACTTTGCTTCTATTTTTTATACCGCAAATTGCAAATTTCTTATACTCAGTACCTCAATTGTTTCATCTTGTGCCTTGCCCAAGGCATCGGTTACCTAAATATAATAGTGAGACAGATTTACTTGACATAAGCTCAACAATTTTTGTTAAAAATGGTTTAGGAGTTTTAGGTAGGACATGTGTTTTTTTGTTCCGTTATTTTAAACTAATAAAATGGCAAGAAAACAAGGATGGAACCATCACTACAAATAATTTCACATTAATAAACTTTGTGTTACATGTATTCGGACCGGTTCATGAAAAAATTTTAACAAGGATGCTTTTAGGATTACAAGTTGTGTGTACATTAATAGCTTTCACTATAAGATATCCTATGGCAAAATATTTTTATGATACTTGAACTTGCTATACAAAGATGTACATATGTTTGTAATCTTTAATAAAGTGACTGAAAACACTATTTAAAATTTTCGTTTAAATGTATACTTAAATCATAAGAAAAATCATGTAAACCAAAAACATTTTGCATTAATTTATATTTATATTATAAGACAATTTATATTTGTATATTACATTATAATAAAATGAGCATAATTTGAATTTTTGTTAGGATTTCAATGTCACTCGACAATTAATAAAATAAAAGTTGCTTTTTTAAAACTCTTTATATTACGATAAACATTATTATGTACATATTGTTAAAGACTTTAATATCATTTAATATACAAAATTAAATTTATTAAAGTTACAAAAGTCAAATAGCCGTCCAATTGCTTTTTGTTTCTCGCAGTGTTTTGTTCTCAAAACTTCTAAAACTTTATTTCAATACAGTTACAGGACTTGATATACAGATACGTATAAAACTATAAATTTCAAAACAGAATGTTATTTTTGAAACATTTGAACCAAAACCTGCTTCTCCTTCTCTTTCTTCCTAACTATATCCAAACTACGTTGCTTCCACGTACTTTTTCTCAGTTTGATTGGCCTACTTCCAACATATCGGCCTAAAATTCAAAATATAAAATTTTTTTTATATTTAACATATGTACATATTTTAAAGTCTTATAAATTTAGTATTAAAATCTTTATCTATTTTTTTTTCTACACGAATATTCTACGTACCATCCATTTCTTTCATAGCTTTTATAAAGTCTTGAGGCTCGCGGAAGCTTACAAATCCAAAACCTTTACTTTTTCCAGTTCTTTTGTCTCTAATAACTCTGGCTCTTTGAAAGGAAGGATACTTGTTGAACGTTCTTGTTAAAACTTCGTCATTTACATCATTACCTAGATCCCCACAAAATATTCTAAAATCGTCATCAGGCCAATCGGCTAAAGAAGTATCTTCCCAAATTTGACCACCAGCTATTCGTACCGTCTTCCTATCTTTTTTACGTCTCTCATTTACTTGGAACGATTGTAAAGCTGACGAAGCCTTTGCTGCTTTAATAGCTTCTTCAGCTATAGGATTAGGGCCTAATTTTTCAGCCTTTAATTTTTTTAACTTTTGAGTCACATCAAATTGGATTGTAGAAATATCGATTGCAGGCACCGATGAATGAGTTGTGTGCATAGTAGTTGTTCTACTAGTATATAATTTGGGTGCGGAAGCTAGGACTATAGGTGAGGGTTCCGTAGAATAAGCTTTAGAAGTAGTTTCGGTAGAACCAGATGTTGTACTTGGGACAAATGTTGATAAAAATGCTGGGGGCATAGGAGGTGGTGGAACAACCATTGATGAATGTTTGCTATTTGAAGTTGTTGTTGTTGTATTTGTTGAATTTACTGATTGAGAATTTGATATGGAGTTATGATGTTGTTGATTTAGCTTTTGTTGAACTTGGTTAAATGTGCTAGATCCTATCACAGGTCTTAACTGACTTGGAACAAACATTGTACTCTGAGTCTTAGAAATTTCCGCTTCAAATCTAGAAAAAGTTCATCAACATTTCTTAAAAATATAATATAAAGAGTTAAAAAGGGCATATCACACCTTGATATTTCGTCCTCCATATTTTTTCTTTTTGTACCCATTTTAATATTTCGACTTTAAAATCTTTTGAAATTTTTTTATTTACTACGCCAACGATTATAATTTTCTAACATAAATATATACATAACCTATACAAATTAGACAATTGTTTGAGTTTGAGCATTTGTGTATAGATACGTTAGTATTACCAATGTAGCACAATAATTTACTAAAAAACAGAGTTCTGAAACCTTTATATAAAAACAATAGTTTTTCAGCACTCAAACGATCATTTCTACATTTAAGTTGAAAAATGTAAGATGTGACGATTGAATGATGTAAATACAGTGTATGGTTTAGCCAAAAATATAATAAAAATCCAATTCACAACTTTACACATGTATTTTAGTTAATCATAAAAAAGGCAATGTTTAGATTAGGATAGAGCGTTTTTCTAATTTCAACTACTATAAAGTATAACAAGATTATTATACTATAAAGTAAAATAATAGTTTCCTGATTATGTTTGAAATTTTTTTTTTTACTAAATTTTCAAATTCTATTCACAAAAATACAATTTTTTTTTAATTTATTAGTTTTAAACAAACTTATTTGCAATTTATTACATAATCCTTTTTTTTAGCTCCATAATATTTAATTCAAAATTTGAAATTATTAAAGATAACAATTGTAAAAAAGTTTCAAAAATTTAACAAAGCTATAAAAATTAATATTTAAATAAGTATGAAATAACTATAAAATTTAAAGACTAGTTGCAAATAAACTAACTGGTAACTTATTAATCATTTTTTAAAAAATTTGATACTAGAGTCTTCAATTATTTTTGTTTTGTAATTCTATAGAAAGAGAGTTGAATAATTGAACTCCACGATACAAAACATCGAATCATTTTAAATAATATTAAAAAGATAAAGCGAGCGTGATATTCGTTTTTAAATATTGTGTTGCCATCATGTGTAAAAACGACGCGAACATCAGCTCAACAGTCAAAATAGTTGCTTGCTCAGTAAATTTTATAATCCCAGAGAACAGTTTTGCGACGTAATGAAAAATTACAAGTATCAAAATATAAAATTTATGTAGAGCAAAGAAACTGTTTTGTATACAAATTACAAAAATATAAGAAAAAAATATATGAGTGTTATTCGTAAAGATATTGCTTAAAAAACAATGAAATGGCGACGTCTGCATCAGTTTCCTCGTCTTCACAATCTAATCCTCAAAATGCAAGCGGCTTAATGGATCCATATCTAAAATCATTTTTTCCACTTAAAAGTACAGCAGATGTGGTAAAAATATTTCAATATGAACTTCAAAAAAACTCAGAGCCGGATCTAACTCTTCTTTCCGTGATTACCGGGTATATTGAAATAAACTTAACATCAGGTAGTTCTCCAGCAGCAGGAGCACATTACTATTCGAATAGTCAAGAAATTGATGCATGCTTAAATTCGTTTCCTATTTTAACACTAGAAGTTGTTGAAGATTTGTATAAAAAATTTCAAGTCAAGCTGAGTGTTATTGAAAAACCAAAAATTCGTCATAATGCTTCTGGGGCTATTTCTGGAGGATTTGCAAGTAAAGCTATAATTAAAAAGGTCTCGGATATAATATACTATTCCCTTATTCGAAGTACTTTAAAAGATAGAGCGCATTTGCAAAATTTATACAGTTATTTGTCAAGTCACAAATTGGATTGCTTTGGTGTAGCCCTTGGTGTTGTGGCTGGTATGCAAATATTAGGGTATAGAGATGTGCATTTGGCTATTTCTGAGGATCACGCATGGGTAGTTTTTAACCCAGGTACATCAAGTGGAAGTGGTAAAAATAGAACTAGAACACCAGCAGTATATGAAACAATAGAAGTAACATGGCATGGCAAAGGAAATGAAGATAAAAGGGGTCAGGATGTAAGTGCCGCAGTAGAATCTCACGTATGGCTTTATTTGAACGGACATTCTGTTATATGCGATCGATACATGGAAGTGGCCGCTATCGTGTCATCTATTAATATTGCTTTAACACCAAATAGTGATTGCTTGGAACTGGCAGAATTGCAACAGGCCCTTTTGTGGCTCTTATATGACTTAAAACATTTAGAAAAGTATCCTATGAGTCTTGGAAATTTAGGGGAATTGGAAGAAGTTTCAGCAACATACAAACGTCCAAATTGTGAAGAAATTTACAAGGAAGCTATAAAGTCAGCTAGAAAATATTATGAAAATCATCATGTATACCCGTATACATACCAAGGAAACTATTACTATCGCCAGATGAATTATAGGCAGGCCTTTGCTTCTTGGGCTAATGCAAGTGATGTAATACGATTGTACACGTATTCAAAAGATGATGAAGAGATTTACAAGGAATTTTTAGACATAGCGAATGAAATGATACCTTATATAATGAAAACAGAAAGTTCTGGACACTCTGCACGAAGTATTCTCAGAGATTCGGAATGTTTTGCAAATTTACTAAGATTCTACGACGGAATTTGCCAGTGGGAAGAAGGAAGTTTAACTCCAATTTTACACATAGGTTGGGCTAAACCACTAGTCAATACTATTTCAAAATTTGATTTTGAAATTAGATCGCAGGTAATAATTTATTGTGCAAAGGAGGAAGAGGAATATTTTCAAAATGTCAGTACAAAGTCAAATGAAGCTAATAGAAAATATATAAGATCAGAAGTTGAAAAGGGTAAAGAAATCGCATCGACTTCGCAATTACTAGATGGAAATAAATTTAAAAAAGATGAAGTAATAATCAAATCAAAATATACTTAATTAATAAAATCAAAAAATACTTAATTAATAAAATTTTTTTTCAGCCTAAAAAAACAGATATTCCGACTATAGAAGATATAACCGCAGCATGTGGTGAAAAAATATTGAATCCAGATTTTTTACTACAAGGAGGTGGAAAGCTTTTTGCTGAACAAAAGCAATTTAAAAATAAGCGGAATTCAAAAGAAGAATCTCGAATTGAAAAAAAAAACACGGTGCAAGCGGATATGAAAAAAAGCAGGGAATTTGAGTCCGAATTGTCACAAAATAAAGTCGATAATGAAAGCGGTTTTATTTTTCAGCAAAAACATCCAATAATAACTTTATATAGTTATAAAATGAAAGGATTGAAGGATCTACTAACTGCTGAAAAATTAAACACACATGCAATTTCATTGCAAGTAACCGCTCAATCACAGGTAGCTGGAAAGAAAGTTCGTTCCACCAATATTTCAAACCAATCTGGACAATCTGGATTTACAACTGTGAATAATAATAGCAACACTGATAAAATGCATTCATATCAAAACGCATCTAATTCTGATCTAGCAGAAAGTGGAACTAGACCTAAAAGAAATCGCAGAGAATGAAAGATTCAACTAAGGGGGGAATAAATAATGTCGGAAATTATAATATTTGAAATAATTATTTTCCATAATTATTTATGAGCTACCGTAGTAAATATTTGTACATAAAGCATTCAAAAAAAAAAAAAAATTGACCTGCACAATCAAGTAAGTACACATTTTTTTCTGAATTTTTTTTTGATAAAGTAAAAGTATTCTTTGTAATCAAACTAAAGTTCCCTTATCATTTTAAAGTTATTCAATATGTTTTTAAAAAAAATTATATTTTATTTATTACAAAATTTATATTTAATTATAAATTATTAACAAATAACGCGAAGTTATTTCCAAGCCAGTATTATATCAACAAAAAGTAATTTTAATTTTTTAAATTCTGTTAAGCTCAAAGAAAATAGTTTAATAATTTAAAGGAATAAACACTATCATTAGGAAACAAAATGCCGCTTTTGTAGTTATTAGTTAAATGCCTGGTAGCATTTGTAAGTTATTTTTGTCAAACTTTTTAAAGAAATTTCTAATATTCCAGCAAAAAGAAAATTGTTTTAAACAATCTTCCATTAATAATTCATATCCTTTTGCATCACCAATTTATTGTTGTTGAACAGCAAATTTTTATTTTTATTTTATAGCTTTATATTATAATTTAATATTATATTAACTTTGTCCATATTTAGAATACTTTAATATTAGTTTTATTTTTACAAATTTTCTTAGTATAGGAGATTTTAACTTAAAGTACAATTGTAAAAAAAATTTTTTTTTCTGCTATATTAATTATAAGCGCTAATTTATTTTCAAAGCATTTAATTCTTATAATTATACACATTAAAAATAATAAAAAATATATTATGCATATACACATACTATTTACATGTATGTATCTAATAGAATTGCATTCAATTTAAGTGTTTAAAGTTATGAAAAATTTAAAGATTTATTAAAATTTATTAATATAAATTTATAAATAATAAGATTAATAGTACAAGCAACAAAAATAGTAATTATTTTGATCAGTATGTACATCTCATGAGAAACAAAATTAAAAGAAATAAAGTTAAATAAAATAAGAAACGAAAAAGCTTATATAAATATATTTATTCTATTTTATATTACATTTCAATATCTTTCTGCACAAATACTTTGTATTTCAGCTTAAAATAAAAAAAATTAAACGTGAAGAATACTAATATTTTTTAATCTCACTTATAATTCTGCAGTGTAATTTTGTAATAATTTAGAATTTAAACATTAGTATTATCATGGAAAAGAAAAATCATCTCATTCAGAAAGTTTCAAAAGTTTTCATTTGAAATGTATCACATTTTTTTTTTAAATTCTACCTGATTACAAAATTTCATTAGTATTTTTTTTTCAATGGTGAAGTTACCTATAAAAACATAACATGCAATACAAATAAAATATTGGTTTGCAAATGGTTTCCTTTTACAAAAAGGAATTTATAACACAAACTAAATATTACAAACTAATATGACATTTACAATTTTAATAATATGATAAAATATTTGTGCTGAAAAAAAAATAAAAAAAGTTACAATTTTATTTACTTAAATATAAAATGGTTTGAATAAAATAAGCAACACAGTATTACAATGTAAAGTTAGTTATAATAAAAAATAATTAAGTAACAAGGTTTAATTATGTATGCGAATATGAAAAACCAAAAAAGGCTTCTGATATACGGAAACTTTGAAATATGTTAATTTATGAAATAGGCAAAAAATATGCAAATGTACGGTACATCATTACTTGTTCGAAATTTTTTTTCTATTCAACTTGAAAACTTTCCCCTATACGTAATTTTGAGTAGTTTTAATATAATTTTCAATTTTTCATTTTCCACATTTGAAATTATGAAAATTATATTTTTATAAATATCACATAAATTATTTTTATGGGATGGTTTCAAAGTTGAATTAAAAAAAAATTTCGCAAGCGACGATTATATCCATAAATTTTATGTGATATTTGAATGTCTTAATTTAAATTACTCTTACAAAGCTCTAAAAGAATACATCTTTTTTTTTTTGAAAAGTGAATGTTTAGAAATTCTATTATAACGATATACGAGTATCATCACTTTCCCTAATTTTTTTTTAACTTGAAATTAATTCCTTAAATGTAATTTCGATTTTAAAAATTATCTTCTTTAAGATAACCATCCTTTTTTTGTTGTTATTCCATAATGCAATAGGAAATCGAAAGCCCGATGAAATACAATCGCGCCTAAAACTTTCTAAAAATTTGATAATCCCTGGAATGTGATTTTAATGAAGGAAATCTTATCGGAATAATCAACAAATGCAGTCTTAAACTCGTTCGTCGGTAATAAGCATAAAACATTAAGTTTTTGAATTTTAAGCTTAAATAAAATGTTTTTTTCGTATAGGCTTTTTAACGAAACCCGTCTTACCCGTTCAATAATACTTTGAAATGCTGATCAATGATACTGATTGGTGGAATTCTAATCAGTAACTCTGATTGCAGGAAACAGTGATTTAAAACCCTCAATATTCTAGCTCCTATTTCAAAAAAAAAAGTAATTAATTTGGGCTCTACAGGTAAATTTAATTTATAAAAAACTAACTATCGCGATAAATTTTTTCGATATCGTTGAAACCTAAGATATTGCCATTTGAACTATTATTTATTAAATATGAGCACGCCTGTTTATGACAAATTTTTATTTTGTCTTAATAATTTACAGCTTTTTGTAACTGATTTACTTTTTATATTTATTAAGTTTGTAGAAAGTTTTGTGTCTCTGTTTTATTTAGCTTTGCAGAATTGGGGGGAAATAGAGACATAAAATTTAATAGTAAGAGTAAATTGTTAAAATATTTAAAAAATATATTTAAATATCTCCTTTTTATATATCCATTTCAATTAAAGTTGAACTCCAAGCAGTCTAAATTGAACTAATCAAATTGATGATTGGATTGTGAAAAAATGTCAAAAACATTTTTATTGATAAAAATTACAGTTTGACTAATCCGATAGTGATAAAAAAGTGAAAAAAGCGTTTTCAAGCTAAAATCGGTTTTTCACAAAAAGAAAACTGGGATAAGTGATGATACCAAAGCGATTAGCTACTTTTTAGAAAAAGGTAAATGAAAATGCTTAAATATGAGTCTATGTTCGAAATCATAAAAAATGGATATTTTTCCGTATATTAACTTAACAATAAGGTAAATTTTAGAGATGAAATCATATTTCTCCCTAATTTTTTGAAAAACACTTACCTTATTGAATAGTAAAGTTATGAATTAGAAATTTCCGTACATCATACATAATACGTTAGTTTTTAATTAACTGTGATGCAATTCAATTAAATGTGGTATAATATTATTATAGTAATAAAAACAAAATCAAATAAAAAAATTATACAAACTGTATTAAAAATATTGTATTAAGATTAAAAATTTAAAAATTTTTCTTCATATTTAAAATATATGTATGTATTTGTTTTGCTTTAATTAATTACATATAATTATTACCAACTTATTACCAACTTTTTTATTTAGGTCTGTTTTTTGCCCTTAATAAATTTATATTTATAAAATATATCTTTTATCAAAAATTAAGGCTTTAGTAACAATGATAATAAAGTTTGTGAAACAAAAAGTATAAAATACCAATGTATACAAAATTTGACAAAAAATTATTTAAAAAGAAAACAAAAACAAATTATTTAATTAAAAATGTAAACAAATTTTAAAACTCAAAAAAGAAAAAGTTTTGGAACATATTTTTACAAAATTAAACACAAAATTATTCAAAATTAAAAAAAAAAATGTTATATTTTTTTACTGAAGCTGAATAAATAATAAAACTATTGTTAATACAAATAATTCTTAAATGAATAGAAGAAAATATTTAAAAAAAGTATAAAAAAAGAACTCAAATCATAGGAAATCAGTAAGAGTCTAGCAAGGTGTAAGAAAACATTTCTATAATGTTCTAAAAAATATTTTCATTCGTCATAATTTTTTATCACTTGTATCAGTTTAAAAAAATATATCTGTGTACCTTTCTTGCCGATAACTTTTCCAAAAATAAATGATACAGGGACAATCTACATTTATCTCTTGGAAATATTAAAACTATTTAAAATATCTAAGAATAAGTGCGAAAAATAAATAAGCTCTATAAATATAAACTAATTAACTTCAATATTTCTTTTTAAAAATCAGATTGTATTGGTATATACGCACTCAGATTGTATTGGTATGCACGGCATAAAAGAAAACTATGGTTATTATTTTTTAAATTTCAAACTCCGCTAAATAAGTAATTGTAAAAGAAAATTCTTAAATCGTTTTAGAAAACAAAATTTAAAAAAATATATTAATACATAATATGTACACATGCAAATCCTTGCAGTTCTTACTTTTTTCTGTAAGCAATAACATAATTTAAAATCAAACGAATAGTTTTAACTGTTTAAATTCCTTTATAATCAATCTCTAAATTACCGTGAATATAGAAAAAATCAATAGAAATTACTAAATAAATGTTACTCTTCAAAAACTAATACGAAAGTGTTTTATTTATTAGTTCTAGTTTCGAATTATTATTCATTTATTTCACGTTGTTTCTATATACATATACTGATTATTACTCAGTACTGACTATAGATTTAGATGCGTTCGGTTCACATTCAGTTTCACATTCTTCTTGTTCAAATGGTTCTGGTTCTTTCATTGTAAATTCATTTATTTCACTTTCATTAAAAGAAAAATCACAAGTTGAATACTCTGAATCAGACAAATCCCAAAGCATCGATTTTTGAGGTAACTTTGAAAAATCATATTTTGATACAGTTTGAGAATACCATAAAGGAGGTGAAAGAACATTTTCCAACAATTTCGGGTGCTTATTATTTTGAAATTTTTCAGATATATTTTCGATATCATTTCCTTCAATTATTTCTTCTTTTAGTAAATTAATACTTTCAGATTTATAATATCCACTTAACATATATTTAGACATGAATGAAAAAATTCCTGGTCCTTGTGGATATTGATAATCATAATTTCCATGATATTTGTAAATTTGAAAATCTATTTCCATCGATCCTACCGGTATACCTTGAATCCAAGTTCCGCGAAAAACTGCGGTTTCGTTTTTGAATATATAACATCCTAAACCGTGCCGTAATCCTTTGTGCCAATTACCATCATATATATCCTCATTTGCATAAGTATATATACCAGAACCATGACGCAAATTTTTTTGCCAATTTCCATCGTATATGCTTCCATCCGGATAAAAAAATATGCCTTTGCCAGATTTTTGCCCTTCAGAAACATTCTTTGATTAAATACACAATTTTTTTTTCAATAACTATATTACCACGGCGGTATTGACCTAAATAACGGGCTCCATTTTGAAATACATATAAACCTATACCGTGTCGTTGTCCATTTACATAATCACCATCATATTGATCCCCATTTGGAAAAATCGCCCAACCTAATATTAGAGATGAAATTATTTTTTCATTCAATAAACTTTGATTCGCTTAAATAGTTACCTTTACCATGACGTTGTTTTATATTATTCCTGCCGCCAATATATATCTAATAAAAAAAATAATTACTACAGGGTCAAATTTGAGGTAGTAAGAAAATTATTTTTACTCCCATAAAATCTTTATCATTTTCCGCTTCACCCTCAAAACTATGAATTTCATTGCTAGACATCATTTCAGCATCCAAACCTATTTATTTTAATTTTATTTAATACGTATATGACGTAGGTACTTAATCTACATACATATAAAAATACAATTTTTCACGGAAAATCAAAGTCCTACTATGATTTCTAAAATTCATTTATTATTTATAATAATAATTTAAGAATTAAAATTAATTGTTAAACTCATATTAATATAAATTTTTTATATATATTAATATGAGTTTTAATATATATTAATATGAGTTTTAATATATATTAATATGAGTTTTAATATATATTAATATGAGTTTTAATATATATTAATATGAGTAAATATTAATTTTTAAGAAAAATCTTGTAAAACTTTGTGTATATAGATATATAATTATATATACTTGTGGGTATGTTCAATCTTCTTATATTTATTAATTTTATATCTGATTTATATTTATTGACTCGAATCCAGTACTGGGAAAAAAAATTTCCAGATTTCTGTCTTGACTGGTCCCTTTAGCTTTTTCATCCATAAAAAATTCAAAGTTTCAAAAAATTGCGAACGAAATTACCTGGCTAGAAAAAACTGAAAAAATCAAAAAGGGAAAAATTTGATTTTTCCTAAAGTTCGAATGATTGATATTCCGAAAGTACACAAAATACATAATCAAGTAAGGTGTTTATTTTAAGCCCCTTACTAGATTTTTCAGACACTGTTTGTTTAAAGCCCTATCTTTTTCGGAACGGAAGTTATAATCAAAAACGCTTATCTCGAAATTTCCTTGTATCTCGAAAACACTTGAGATTTCGAACCTAGTCCGGAACAAAAGTTTTACCCATTTTCGACCCTCTAACCAATGGTATATGTTGTTGAATATCTTTCTGAAGCAGCCTGTATATTTATCTACATACTCGTATAAACATAAATTTACGAGTAAAGAAATAGGTATCTGACGAGTATTCTGACTCAACGGTAGTATATAAAATAACGTATTTTTTAGCTGTATTCATCTTCATGTTGGTAATTTAGTTTTTAAATAAAAAATTTGTAGATTATCAGCATTATAGTCAAAAATATATTGCATATCCATCAAGCTGTTTTTTGCAGCATTACGTTTTGGAATTATTGTTTTGCAGTACTGCGTTTACAGATCTATAAAATCTTTATCATTTTATTATATTATTACATTTTACCGTGGATATACAATAAATGTAGGACTTGTTTCCTCTAAGTGTTAAAATAAAAAACTTTTATTGTTATTTTTAGAATCTTTTTTATGTAATTCCAATTTTAGTGTCAGATTAATCGAAATTTATTTCAATATAATTTTAAGTAATCATAATAAATATTCTGAATTTTTGAATTCGGAAAATAAAAAAATCCAAAAAATATGAACAATAAAAATACATATTTTCTTAAAAATAAAAAATAAAAATAAAATTTTATTACATCCTTGAGACAATTTAGTTTTACTATCTTTTGAAAATGTGTTTCATTTATAATCACAATTTATTTATTTTATTTGCTTGAATAGCATGTAAATTGCTGAATTGTTGACACATTGATTCACAACATTTTTTAATACAAAATATAAAAATAATATAACATTACAGTAATTAACCATCAACTTTTAATCTTTTAGTTAACAAAAGTTGAATAAAAACAGTTTGAAGTAAAATAAATAGCTTATAAAAAAACAAAATTATACATTTGATTATTAAATACGACTGAATAAAATACTTAACTTAAAAAACAAATAGTTAAAAAATAATGGTAGAAAGTTAAATATGTATTGGTATTTATTTAATACTAGAAAAAATCATTTCTTAATAAATTTGTCAAAATAATGCTTGAGAAAATTCGAGGTTGGAATTTTAAAGAAATTCATAATTTCATTTAGCATTAATGTAATATATTTTATTTTTTAAATTATATTTTACAATTAGTTATATTAGGAAAATTTTAAAGAATTCTGAATTGTTTATACGATTCCAATTACTTTATTTTTTCTTTTTATTTTCAATCTACCTCAAAATATTAAACTTTTTTGTCTATTTCATATAATACAAATAATTACAAATTGTAGAAACAATTCTGATATCTTAATTGGTGTTGTTTTTTGCTTTTCCCAATATAATTCAAATTTAGTTTGAAAATTTTCTAAATATATGTAAAATTTTTGTAATTAAATATTTTACAGACTAAATATCAAAGTAAAAGTAATAAGTGCTAATAAAAAAAATTTAAGCCGTGCTTTTTTAATATTGAATGTTTTATGTTTTTTTTTTTCGAAATAACAATTCTTCCGAAATACGAATTTTAAATTTTGGATAAATAATTAAATTTTGTTAGTTTCTTTTAACTATTTTACTTGTTTTATAATTTTTTTATCTATTTATTTAAATTAAATTTTTAAATTTTCAACGAAATATTAAAGATATACAATTGTATATTAAAAGAAATCACGAACTTATTACAATAAAGAAACAATATTATAAATTCTTTGTTAATTAAAATTAATAATTTCTTTAATATAATTATTCTCATTTGCAAGAAACGGTCTCAGATTCTGTTAATTCAGGTGCAGAATTTAAATTCATTTTGGAACTTAAATCACTGCCACCAGTTGTTCCATCTGAGTTTTCGACATTTGAATTTTGGCGAATTCGTAAAAGTCTGTCTTGAACACTTTTTTTAGCGAATTCTGGTTTTGTAGATAATTCTTTTGCTACTGTATCTAAAACTTTAGGATCTATTATTGCAGCACCGATATTTTGAGAATTATTAACCTCCGGTATTTGCAAAATACCAACAGTAGAATTCATAATTTTTGATGGCATTTCAGTTTTTTGAGTGAAATTATTTTTAAAATTCTTTTTTTCCTTTTTAGGACTTTTAGTAATTAGTGTCTTTGCATTGGACATTTCAAATTCATTTGTTTGTTTATTGCTTTCACATATCGAGGTTCCTAAAGATTGAGATTGTTGATTATGATGTTGCTTTAGTTGCTGTTGTTGTTGTTGATGTTGTTGTTGTTGTTGTTGCTGTTGCTGATGTTTCTGTTGCTTTAATAGACTTTGCCGTTGCTGCATTAGCTCTTTTTGTTGTTGTTGATGCAATTGCTGAACTAATAGTTGTTGTTTTAATTGATCTTGTTGTTGATTTTGCTGTTCAAGTAATGAAAGTTGTAGTTGCTGATCCTTTTTTCGTTGCAAAATTAACTGTTGTTGTTCAGCCTGCTGCAACTGTTGTTGTTGTTGCAATTGTTCTCGTTGTTTTTGAATAAGTAATTCTTGTTTACTTTGCTTAAGTAAATGATTTTGTGAAAGTTTTGGCACCTCTGTGTTATTTGATCCATATTTGATTTGTGTATTTTGCTGATGCTGAGTTAAGAGTTGTTGTGGTAATTGCTGCTGCTGTAATATTAGTTGCTGTTGCTTTATTCGTTTTTGCTGATGTAGCAAATTTTGCATTTCCATGTTTTGCAGTTCAGAATTTATAGATTGAGATCCATTTTTATTTTCAAAATTACTAGAACCACAAAAATTTTGGCATGTGTTGTTATTATTAAGCTCCGGATTATCAACATTGCTTGTTTTTATGTTTACATTTTGTTTATATTGCGTTTGAAAATTTTCATTTTCAGGTGAAATTTTTGTTTGTACCTGGAAACTTGTTTTAGACAACTGCCTAGGACCGACTCGGCCAGTGCCTATTGCTGGTGCCGATGACACTGAAAAAATTATAAAATTAACAAAACTCAAAATAAGGCAAAAAAATGTTAACTCACATTTAACGCTCTTTACTTCCCCCGTTTGAGAAACAGATACGGTAATATTTCCTCTTTTCTCTATCATATATTCAGCTTGACTGTAAACGTTATTCGATTGCTGAACATTTGTTTGTTGATTTGGATGATTGGGGATATTTTTTATGGCAGTGTGTTTTGGACTTCTATTACTATTATACGATTCATGAAGAAAATTTGTTTTATCTGTTTTGTCTGTATCCCAATCTTTTTTCCACTTTTCATTAATTTTTAGATTTTGATTGCGATTACTTCCAGCTTTAATGTCTTCCCCAACAGTTTTATCATTATTATTACGCCACTGTTCTAATTGTGAGGTTTTATTTTGCAACTTGTGATTTTGCAATTGATTATACGGTGCCGACTGCGGTTGTAAAGAATTTTTGCTACTACTACCAAAATTATTCCCGCGCCCACCCCGAAAACTGTTATTTTGACTACCACCACGTTTGCTAAACTGGTCTTTGCTTTTATTACTGTAGCTGCTGTTTGAAGTTTGCTTAGATTTATCATTTTTATGAAAAATTTGCTGATTAATATTGCCGTCACGTTCATTATCAGCTAAAAAATTGTATTTCGGATCTGGAGGTGGACCTTCACCTTCAGCAAATTTCTTATAATCCCGTTTAGGTTTAAGCTTTTCTTCTTCTTTAGCTTTGTTAGATTCTTCCAACTTTTCAGGGTCAACATCGTAAGTAAAATCTAATTCGTCATACTTATGTGCCTTTGGCCAATTTTCATCATCCAATGTAGATTTGGTTACTAAAGCATTCATTTTTAAAGCCATTAAACGATCTTCTTCTGCTTCACGATGCTTTTTTTCTATTTCTTCAGTTTGTCTTTTAATTCTTTCGATTCGCTCATCTAAATTCTCCTTGGCTATAGACATTGTTACGAATTAAATTTCTTTTTAGTATCTAAAATTATTTGAATAATTCCATAAATAAGTTATTTAAAATTGCTTGGAGGTGAATAGTATGATAAAATCGTTTTCCATTATTTTTTTTCATTTATTTATCTATAATAAGTTTGAAGTGAATTCCATTCTAAAAATTTATTTTAAATTGAAATGAAATTTGCGAAACCCTCACGTATGTACCTATGGTGAGATATATATATATATATATGTATGTAGGATATATGCATACATGTATCTCTTGTAAACCTATTATAATTCAAAGCACGCCTACTGGGGACATGCATTTATAAATACATACTTAGTTAATATTTTCTCAAAAATTCAATTTAGCTAGAAGTTAAAAAAATTTAAAGTGACACGTAAATTTTTTTTTCCTATGTGTATATTTATTGTCATTATATAAAAAATGTAGAGCTTACCTTTCTCTACATTAATTTAGATAAATCGTCCTACTTTTTGAAATTTCACTTTAATATACATGTACATTCGTGTTTGAATACATATCATCTCTACATGTACGTAGGTATGCATGTACATGGGTACCTATATCTTTTTTAATTATGACTAGTATAGAATAAATATTATACATAATTTTAGAAAATATGTTGTATTTTTTATTCTTACCTTCAATGTATTAAAATCTGTAGATTATAAAATATTTTTATAGAAAAAAAGTAAAAATTTTATTCTTAATTTTCTTGAAGAAAATTAGAAAAAAAATACGGAGAAAATAAAACAACGATGCAAAAACAGCAACAACGTTATTGACGGCTCTATTTGTAATTTGAACTTGTACGTCATTATTATGCCAAATTGAAGTTCAAGACACTAGGGATGGGACTTATTTATGCAGAAACATTAAACATCACCTTTTTCATTCTGATCGATTTCAAATTTCCACTTTATCAATTTTCTACAATAGCTAGTTAAATAAAAAATAACAATTGATAATAAAAACTAAGATTAATTACAAATGTTTTTATAATCCTTATTACATAATGAAAATAAACAATAGCGTGGAACTTTAATAGTATGTATATGCGAATATAATTTCTTATATACTATTAGGAATAATTTGCGTTTTGACAAGTTCAAGTATTCTTTCCTTATTTAGGTTTCAGTACGTAACTAATTGTTTTGCAATACATATTAATATTTCATTATTAAGAATGCCGCAAAAAAATAAGGTATGTAATAAATTTTTCTACCTTTTTCTTAATTTTAAACAATTTATATGAATTTTTACGTTTTTTTTTTTTATTGAATATATTCTCTCCTAAATTTATGCAAAGATTTTTTTATTATAAAATTAAAGTGACACCAAAAATTGACAAATATGTATATTTATGCTTATTAAACATTTGATATTTATTTTACTTTAATATTGTATTGTAAGAAAAATGGTTGACAACGTGGTGCCGGAATTAAATAATTTGCAAATCGAAGAAAAACAGGCATGAAATAATAATTTACTTTACAATAGAATTTTAATTGAAAAATATTATAAGTAATGAATAAATATTTAAGAATAATAAAAGTGTATAACAATTTTTTATTCGGTGAAAAAACTGTTGGCAGATTTCTATCGGGGGGCATATCATATCCACACAACTTTTTTAGATACGACTATTCAACTTTGGTATCTAATTTCGCCAGTAATTTTTAAATAAAATTGCATCATTTTTTTATTGAATTTATTAACTCCATAGTTTTATTTAATATAATTATTGTTGTGTGATGATTGCCTCCTGCAGCGAAAATTTGTTAATAAAATTATTAATTTCAGGCCACAAAAATGAAAAAGGAGAAGCAAAAGAATCAGAATGCTCAGACTCCTGGTGACGGTGGAAAAAATGGTAAGAAAAAATTTATGTATAAGTTGATTAAATTGATTTAATAATTTGGTTTATATTTAAGTTAAAGAATTGAAGCCATGGCCGGCATATATAGAAGAAAGAAATAAATTGTGGGAAAAATGCAAAGAAGAATACTTTGCAGAGCTTGCCACAAAGCCTAGGAAAGAAATTAAAATTACATTGCCTGACGGTAAACAAATAGATGGAACATCATGGGAAACTACTCCCTTCGACATAGCAAAGGGAATTAGTCAAGGTTTGGCTGATAACACTATAATCTCTAAAGTCAATGGGGAAGTATGGGATTTAGATCGTGTGCTTGAATCTGACTGCAGCCTTCAACTTTTGAAATTCGATGATCCTGATGCGCAAGCTGTTTTTTGGCATAGTTCGGCACATATTATGGGAGAAGCAATGGAAAGAATTTATGGAGGTCATTTGTGCTATGGTCCACCAATTGAAAGTGGGTTTTATTACGATATGTTTCTGGAAGGGGAAGGTGTAAGTATAAGTCAAAAATTTTATCCAAATTCAACAAATATAGTTCACTTTCAGATATCTACAAATGATTATCCCGTTATGGAAAACTTGATTAAGCAAATTGTAAAGGAAAAGCAACCGTTTGAACGATTAGAAATGAAAAAAGATGATTTACTTGAAATGTTCAAATATAATGAATTCAAGTGTCGTATTTTAAATGAAAAGGTGACAACCCCTACTACTACTGTGTATAAATGTGGTCCTTTGATTGATCTCTGTAGAGGTCCACATGTACGTCACACGGGAAAAGTTAAAGCGTTAAAAATCACCAAAAATTCTTCAACTTATTGGGAAGGCAAAGCTGAAGCAGAAACTTTGCAACGTGTTTACGGAATATCTTTTCCAGATGCAAAGCAGCTAAAAGAATGGGAAAAAATTCAAGAGGAAGCTGCCAAAAGAGATCATCGTAAAATTGGCCGTGAACAAGAATTATTTTTCTTCCATGAACTTTCTCCAGGTTCATGCTTTTTTCAACCACGTGGAGCTCATATTTACAACACTTTAGTAAGCTTTATAAGAAAGGAGTACAGAAAACGTGGCTTTCAAGAAGTTGTTTCACCAAATGTTTATAATTCTAAGTTGTGGCAAACTTCTGGGCATTGGCAACATTATGCTGATAACATGTTCCAATTTGATGTTGAAAAAGAAATTTTTGCGTTAAAACCAATGAATTGTCCTGGACATTGGTAACTTTATTTTTCCTTTTTTTTGAAATTTCTTATTAATCGCTCTTTTAGTTTAATATTCGATAACCGCAACCGATCTTGGAGAGAATTGCCTCTCCGTATGGCAGACTTTGGCGTTCTGCACAGAAACGAATTGTCAGGTGCCCTAACTGGATTAACCAGAGTACGAAGGTTTCAACAAGATGACGCACATATTTTCTGCGCTCCTGAACAAATTAAGCAAGAAATAACCGGAGCTTTAGATTTCTTGAGATACGTTTACAATGTTTTTGGATTTTCTTTTAATTTGGTGCTTTCCACGCGGCCTGATAAATTTTTAGGAGAAATTGACCAGTGGAATACTGCTGAAAAAGCTTTAGCCGAATCTTTGGATGAGTTCGGTTTACCATGGAAGGAAAACCCTGGGGATGGTGCGTTTTATGGTCCAAAAATAGATATCACTATTTTAGACGCATTAAAGAGAGCATTTCAATGTGCAACAATTCAATTAGACTTTCAATTACCTATAAGGTAAGATTAAATTTTACAACAATTTATAAACTCATAGCAAAACAAATTTAATCAATTAATTACGTAGATTCAATTTGTCATATGTGTCTGAATCTGGAGAAAAAAAACGACCTGTTATCATTCATCGAGCTATACTAGGTTCTGTTGAACGTATGATAGCGATATTAACCGAAAGCTACGCAGGGAAATGGCCTTTTTGGCTTTCTCCACGTCAAGTGATGGTCGTTCCAGTAGGTCCACAATTTGATGAATATGCTGAAACCGTTAGAAAACGTATACATGATGCCGGATTTATGGCAGAGGCTGATCTCGATGCGGGCGATACCATGAACAAAAAAATTCGGAACGCACAGTTGGCTCAATTCAACTTTATTTTAGTAGTTGGCGAAAAAGAACGCTCATCAAATACTGTCAATGTTCGTACTCGTGATAACAAAGTACATGGAGAAATATCACTTGACAATTTAGTTACAAAATTAAATAACATCCGAGATGAATATATAATCGGTGAAGAAAATTTTTAAAATTTCGAGAACAGTATAAAAAATTAAAATTTTCCATTAAATTAAAAATATTTAAAATTGATACTAAGTTATTAGAATTTTAATTGGCTTAAACTTAAAAACTACACAAATCTAACATTGTTATTATAAAATATAATATGCAATTGTAAAAATTTGAACATTTTCATATAATTTATAATAATAAGTTACATTTATGTATTATAAGGCATTAATTAAAAACAATATTAAATTTAACTCTCGTCCAAATGATCAATTAAGCTTTTCTTAGTTTTATGGGCACTTCCAGATTGCAGTTTAAGTTTTTTTGCTTTGCCGGAATCTATGTTCAAAACTGATTTCCTTTTCATATTTTCATTGTTTTTTTCAGTTAAAATAGAAAAAATAAAATTTTTATTCTTCCCAGTATGACTTTGTACATTCGAAATTCCATCAAATTCTGAGACATGCGAAGTTATACTGGCCATTTTTGTAAGCATGTCTCCCCCTCTTTTTAAAAAAGAACCTCTTATACAGTGAGTTGAAGATTTGGATATCAAAAACGCTGAATCATTTTTGTTTTCTGATTCACTTTTAAAATTTGTTTTTGCGATTAGTGTAGCTGAGGGTTTAGTTAATACGACAGTTTTTTCTGCGAAATCTTCGAAATTATTTTTGTCATCAGTTTTAAAAGACGGCGAAGTAATAGATTCTAGCCTATCTTTTAAAAGTACTTCCCTTTCATGTTTCATTTTCCTCCACACTTCTTCATCATCTTCTTCACAGCTATCTATGGCACCGGTTTCCGCAAGAATTTCTTGTTTGGCATCATCAATATTAAAAGTAGTCTCTGCTTTTTTCCAACGGAACTGTCTTTGCCTTCCTATACCGTCATTTTCTTCATCTTCAAAAAAAAATTCCTGCATTTTTTTAACTTGACGAGCATCCTCATCTAAAATTTTTCGCATATGTATTCGTCCCACTTCATCTTTTAATTTTTCTTCATCAAATTCATCTTCGTCTCCCAATTCAGCATCATACATGTCAAGATTTCTTTCATCTTCATCGGCTGAGCCCCAGTCAGATTCTGAAAGTTCGGCTTCATTTTCGAAAAATTCATTAGCCTTTTTATCTATATCTCTTTTAGTCATTTCAACTCTAATTTCATTTTCTTCCGAATCATAATCTATAAATGTAGCGATCGACTCATCTTCATCCAGATTTGGATAACATACCTGTTGTGCTTTAGTATTTTGAATATCTTCTTCGTCCGAATATGATATTGTATTTTTCTTTTTATTGTTCATAAGATTTCTTGTAGATAAAACTTCTTCTTCTGACGAGTCACTAAAATCAATATTCTAAAAAAAAAAAGGTAATCTATATATGTATTTCAGGAATTTATAATTTCTTCTACCTGAGAGAGCACTTCTTTATTTTTTATTGACACGGCTTTTTGTTCAGTAAATTTAATTTTATTTTTATGAGGGTCTAAGTCATTCAAACTTCGAACTTGTGTTTTAATCTGTGTTTTTCCGAAGCTACCAGAACATAATTCTAGAAGTTCCTCATCATTATCGAGCTGATCATTTTCCATATCGAATAATTCTTCTGCAACTTTGTTTTGAGGCATTTTAAATTTGGCTAGTTCAGGATTTTCAACTTCTGTTTCTTCTAAGGGATATTTAAGGGAAAAATTAATATTTTCATTATTTTCGTCGTCTTCTGAGCTGGTTTCAGCGAACTTTGCAATTTTTCTTTTGTTCTCCCGTCGTTTTTGTCGCTTTTCAACATTGTCATTTCCGTCACTTTCATCATCAGCTTCATCTTCAGTGACATTATCATCCAGAAAACTGTATTTATGTTCGTCTAAATCATTTTCTGGCGAATTAGTGCATTCCACGTCATCAACTTCTTCCTCAAAAATTTTATGCGTTATCTCCTCTTCCTCCCTATAATGTTTTATTTTCTTGTCAATATCAATTTTTCTTCGTTCCCTTATTTGTCGCATTAAATTGTTTTTCAATTTCAAGTAGTTAGATCCTGGCCCATTATCTGTTTTAAATTCACTGAAACCTAGTTATAAAACTTATATCTCAATCTTATTTTATATAAATATAAAGTTAAAATACTTAACACACCCTCACTTTCGTTATGACTTTTTAAAAGTTTTTTTTTATAATTCGAGTCTGGGTAATTTTGGAATAGCTTATCGACACAACTCAATCTTTTTTCAGGAACTGATATTTTTCCACTTTCCAAATCAATTATAGAAGAAGGACTTCCAGTTAACTTTGGGCATATATTTGAACTTATCGCTTCTTTAGTAACAAGTTGCTTTAATTGCTTCACAACTTCTCTGGGCGTTATTGCAACTGCTGGTGAAATTTGAACATTGGATATAATCTGAATTTTTGGTTTTTCAATCTGTTTATCTCCAATATTTTCAAGACTTGAATTTTGATAACTAAAATTTTCTTCATATCCTTCTGGCGATGAAGCTAATAAATTTTTCGATGGAATAGAATTATCAACAGCTAAATTTTCATGCCCCAAGAGATTTTCAGTTAGAACTTTATTATTTTCATTCGAAATATTTATATCATCACAATCTTTACTATATATATCCTTAGAAGTTTTCTGATCCATACTTTTGCCTTTTGAATTTACTTCAAAAGATTCTACAATTTCTTTACATGAAGTATCATTGAAAAGTTTCTCTGCTTCCTCTTCACGTTTTTTTAAATATTGTGAATAACGTTCTAATTGTTCTTTATCCATTTTTAAGGAAAAATCATGGCAAAATTTTGCTTCTGTATTGGGTTTAAGTACAGTTTTTCTAGACATAAATTCTTTTAAACTACATTTTTTAGGTTCGTGATAGGGCACATTGACATTATTCTCCCTATGTAATCTTTGTGTTTCGCTTTTTATAGAATTTATTGTTTCCATTGCAATCTTTGCCGATTTTCTCATTGCCTTTTTATTTGGACTTAAACTCGCTTTATTCTTTTTTTTCGTTGTGTTTTTAGTTTCTTCATCGCTTGAACAATGGAAATCATAAACTCCATTGTCGGGTTTAGTTTCATTTTCAGATTCTGTGTCAACGATCGCATATTTTCTAGGTTGTACTACAGGCTCACTAAACATATTTAATGAACAACTTTGTTCTTCATCGGACACCACTGACCTAAGAGGGATGGATGTGTAAAATATTAATTCTAAATCACGTACTTATGTATGTAAGTACATATTTACCTTAATATTGACGCCACACTTTCGTTTTTAGAATTTTCATGTTTAGCTTCTATTTGGTTGTCATCGTCACATTCATCTTGAACTAACAATATTTTTGCTTCATTATCTGAATCTGAAAATGCTAAACCTTCCTCAATTATATTTTTATTTAAGAACTCGTCGCTCTTTTTTCTAGGCGGATTTTCTAGGCAGGTCACTCTGAAACGGTTTGTGTTTAAGTCCTCATTCCCATTTTTACTTTCAAATTTTGATAATTCTGAATCTTCAACACAATTTAGTGGGACGGAAATTTGTAACAATGCATCATTTTTATTTTCAACCATTGTATTTAAATTTATATAAAAAAGACATCAAAACGACAAAAAAGGTCGTTATCGCGCTATTTTTCTGACTTTACGTAGGTACTTGTTTCTGTTTCGTATATTCAAATATGACGGCTGACAGAACAACAGGCCTAAACCTCAAGAGAGATTGACAATTCGCAACTGACGAATTTACACATATTCTTATGGAAGCTGAGCTTCCTTTTTAACATCATATATCTCTCACAATATCAACTTTTTTCAAATTTTTAATTAGAAAAAGTCAAAACTTATTCTTTTTATATTTTACTAGTGCTTACATTTTTTAAGTTTTATATTATTAAAACATTGATATATTTGTTATATCAACTGTCAAATCAAATATATATACATAATATGCAAAAACACAATTGTTAACAGGTTTTTTCCTTAAAGTATTTATAAAAAGAGTCACACTTTACTTGTGTTTACACGAGAACTTTCAATTAATGATTAACATACGATTCATTTCCGTTGGCAAGACGCGAAATTCTCTTGGCAAGAGGAATGATGCAGTATTTTAAACTCTTTTAAACTTGGGTGAATTACTCCCAATATTTTTTTATAGAATATTTTGGTAAATTTCTTTATTGAATAAAAATGAAAAATATGTTGCGCAATGAGAAACTTTTTCAATGATTTCGCAACTCGAAACAGAAATTACAAACTTTCATATTTAAATTCGTAGTTTTAATATTGTTTATTCTTCATCGAAGACAAAATTCGATATTGAGGTTAGGATAACTTTGATATTTATGAAAATTTACTTGGATTTTACTTGAATAGCATAAGTAAAATGCTTTAAATGAAAGAAAAGCACTGTGCTTACAATGGTAAGTTTAAAATTAACTAAAGATGAGATAAAACCCAAAATTTATATACTTATGTATGTATGTATGTATGTTGTAAATATTTTAACAAGCATAATTGTTTTTTATGCTCGAAACATTTACATATTTTCTAATGCGGTTTAAATAAATAATTATCAATTGTGTTAACTCAGTAATATTTTTTTAAATTATTTTATAAATTTGTATCCGTAATTTGCGGTAAAATTAAATTATTCTGCTACGTATACAATATATCTTTTTTATATACGTTTACAATATATCTTATAACAAATTCAGTCAAAGGGAACTCCTGTAACAGGAACTTTTAAGCATTCAGTCGAGGATAAGTTAAATAAATTATTCTTTTTCAAAGAAATATAAATAGGTTATATAGTAAAAGCTCTTGACATTGTACACTTTTCCTAAATGCGTTCTATAAGTAGTGGATACGAAAAATAAAAGTAAACCGGGTATCGAAAAAATCACGCACGCTTTTCTCATTCATTCATAAATGTTACTAGATAAAATAAGAATTAAATAAACTAGCCTATATTTTCAGCAATAAAGTACTAGTTATTAAATATTTTTCCAATGCAGCATAAAAATGATATGTTGTTAATGATGTAATGTTTGGCAAAAATTAACATTTGCACGGAACTTTGAATTGAAATTTTCAAACAAACGTTAAAGTATATATTAATATTGTAAAAATTGTTTTCCAAAATGTATCAAAGCTTAAGCAGTTTTTTTTTGCAATGCAAAGGTATTTTGCAATGCAAACGGAGGAACCTCTATATAACGCAATCTCCATTTAACGAACTATTTTGTTTGGCAGTAGGGGTGTTTTTGAAAATGCGGTTTTTGCTAGTAAAGCTTAAAAAACTCTACATTTAATGAGGGATGTTTTTGAAAATGCAGGTGGTTCACTGTATAAAAATGCAAAATTCGCCAATCTGCATTACTTGATATATGTTTCGTAAGTGGTTTGGTGCTATTTAACAAAATTGCAACGCAAACCAATTAAGCTGGCAGCATTTTCTAATTTTTTTTTCAAAGTAAGTATTTGAATTACTTTAATTTGAAATATCTGCTCTTTCATTCTGGGTATGTTTTATTTTCAAACTGTTTTACTTTAAAACTGTTTGACTTCGTGTATTCAACGATTTCGGTTAAGTTCGCATTTGAAGCAAGTTTTCAAACTTTTTATGTGTAGTATTTTTCTAAACCTTGGGTAGTATTTTCAGTCTGAGAGTAGTACAATTTTAAATTATTTTTTTTTCGGTACACTTTGTTAGTTTGTAGGTTTTTCTATCTTTATAAATACGAGTACATTTCTGGAATTTTAAGTAAAACACGATTGGAACTCTATTAATTTAAAAATCTTTTTTAAAATAGTGAAATACTCGTTTTTTCTGCATTGATAACTTTTTTTATCAAAAATGTAGCTATCATATTCTAAAAATCAATTTTTTTTTCATTAAAAACATATAAAGCAACAAATGGTTTTATGCATTCATTCATTTTGAAATACATATTTTATTTCTATCATTAATAGCAAAAGCAAAAAGTAATAATTAGTTAATACCAAAAAAAAAATAATAAATGGCAATTCCTGAGAAACATCATTTATAGATAATAATACATTATATTATTTTTAAATTAAAAAAAAATCAATATAAAAATAAGGCTTGCTGCAATGCCAGTAATCCGTTTTGATTATACCATTTTAGTACTAAGTTTTATAATTTCAGCAAAATTTTTTGAGCTAATACGAAATTATCAAAAAAGTTTTTTACACGAATAACTAAATTCAATTCATAAATAAATAAAAAAAAAAACAATAGTAGTAAAATTTTAGTAAAAGTAGTACAGTAGTACGCTTGGCGAAGTAGTTGTACAATTCTACTATAGTAGTACGTTCTACAGCGCTGGTTTGCAGTTTTAAAAAGGATCTGGTATGACAGCACGTTTTGTAGTTTGCTGCAAAAGCATTCCGTTTTTGTTAGTAAAACTACAAAAGATCTGCTGTCAAATCAACATCAAATTTTTTTCTGCTTTTGTAGCCGTAATTTCAATTAGTAGATAATATAAATCAAACTTTTTGGCACCAAAGTTTATGTAGGCAGTGCTGCTTTAGCAGCTCCTTTAATGTTATTTATAATATAGAATTTGCATTTGCAAATAATATTATAAATATTATAAATAACATTGGACTAATATTGCACAAAAATGGTACAAAAATCGTGTGTGTAGATGTTAAATGCCGACAATTTAACAATATCGCAAAATAAAATGAACCATGGCTTTAGACATTTTTATTATGTCAAGGTTAGTGTTGCCACTTTAGCCCAAATAGACCCATTTTTCTCTTAAAATTGTTTTGTTGATATGGGCCACTTTTTCAAAAGTTTTTCTTATAAATTTGCTTTGGGGGGGGGGGGGGGAACGGGTAGCATGCGATTACAAGGATGGGTAGCAGTAACATCCTCTAGTCTCTGTTATCCAACGCCGAAACTAACCTTCACGAGGTCTCCCGTGTTACGCTGAGTAACCCCTTCGAAAGATCTGGTACCAACCCAGGTGGCGTAGATTAGGTCGGCAAACAAACGAGTCTGACCAAGAATTGGCGGCTACGAGCGGGCGTCTGACTTGGAGCAAGCGGCTCGCTATAAAAATGTGCAATCAACAACACAAATATATAAACCTTATGCAATAGATAAAACAACAGGAATTATTACCCAGGTGGTACGCCAATTAAGTTGGTAAATCCATCCTCTAAGGAGGTCGGCCCCATGGATTCTGGGGGGGGGGGGGGGGCAACTATTGCAACATAACCAAAATCTTCGGGCAGGAAAATCATCATCACCATTTCTGCCACCCATGGAAAGCCTCCACCAGGCTGAAAAAGAAAATGAGCTACTTCGCAACAAACTTTCCAACATTTAGGTGTTCGTTCAAAAGCTTCAGTTGAAACTAAAGGAACTGAGAGAAGAAAACTCGACCTAGAAGGCAGCTCTAACCCTAAACGAAGAAAAAACTAAGGGAAAACAATGTGGGAAGTACTTGTCTTCCGATTGTGACAGTAGTGAACTTATGGGCTTTGAATTAGATTGTATGCCCTGCACGAAAGCACCTAAACGAACAGGGAAGAGCTAAAGGCAAAGAGCTCTCCTGAAGCCATTGTCGCTAACGATACACCCACAATCAATACATCCACAATTAATACACCCACACTAAACAATATTATTACAAACGTATTAAGCCACTCTAACATTAATGCCAGTAAAGCGGGTGATAACGAACAAACTGCCACTATAGAGAGAAAACCTCCGCCCATCAATGTTGTTGGAATTGATACCTACAACAAAGTGACATTAGTAGTTGAAGCTGTAACGAAAACATATAAAATAGTAGCACTTAATAACAATGTTTGGAAAATCAACACTGAACAAATAGACGATTATCGTGCTATAGCGAAAAAACTCGACAGTGATAAAATAGAATGGTTTACCTACGAAAACAAAAACGATAGGCATATTAAAGTAATGGCCAGGGACCTTCACTGGACATGCGATAAAAAGGATATTCTGGATAACGTCAAAAGTCAGGGCCTCAACATCGTAGATGCAGTAAACATCCTAAAAAGTGAAGGAAAAATAAATACAAGCGAGAGTATTGATAAAATCTACAAGCTTAGGCAAATATTAAACCTGATAGTGAAAATAGAACCTCCACGAAAAACGGGGAACGTGATCCCGTAATGCAAGAGATGTCAGGACTTCAATCACACGAAACGATTCTGCAAAAGAAAACCTAAATGTGTCAAATGTGGTGAAAATCACCTTGCAATAAACTGCACGATTGCAAGAAATATTGCTCCTAGATGCGCTAAATGTGGCGGAGATCACCCAGCAAACTATCGAGGGTGTGCAATCGCCAAAGAATTACAGAAGAGAAGGGACCTGACAGCCAAGACACAGACTCGCTCCGCTATTAAAAGTCTAGCTCCTGTGTAGGCTTCTTATAATAACAGTCCAATAGATCAATCTAGTCAAAAACAAAAAAGTGCAATAAATCAATCTAGTCAAAAATCTAAGAGTACAATAGGTGGAATAACATATTCTGTAGCTGTTCGTGGGGGTTTTCCCAGTGTTGTAGGTAATAAGGACTTTAATCTAAATATTATAGAAAAAATATTAGGTACAATTATTAAAAAACTTGACGAGCAAAAAATTGCTGAAAAACATATCTGTGATAGAATTGACAAGATTGAAAACAATCTCAACCTGC